TTTTCTTAACAAGTATATAGCTGTTCGATATTTAGACATTGAGCCACTGAGATATCTCACAGACTTATATCGGCCCTAAAACTCAAGATTTCCTACCACTCCTTCCAGATTTTCTGACGTTATTAGTAATATCAATATTTCAATTGTTGACTACAAAGTTAAAATTTGTCGCCGCGTCGTTATATATTGACGAGTGTCTGTGAAAAGCTTGTGACCAATGCTGTCATGCTAAGGAAGAATGCCGTATGAACCTTCAGGTATTGCAAAATTTCCTTTCATAAAACGCGAATTTCCTGGTAAAAATATTTTCCTCTCAATTATTCAGATAATTTAGTTCACAATTTTACCTATAGATTCTGAAAATTTAAAGGAAAAATATTCATAACTTTCCTCAAAGATGAACATTTTATCGAAGAAAATTTGACAACTCTCGAATGTTCATACGGCGCACTATGGTCCAATAGCCCGAGTTAAGCGGCAATAAATCGGAAAAATGAAGTTTGGAAAAAGTTCGATTTCAATACGCAGATCGATAGTACATACTGTAAAGAGTAAAATGTCATCTAGATTGAAACACTAATAAAGATGTGACAAGCCTGGGAAGTGCGGCGCGCGGAGCACTTTTGAGTACGCTTCCAGTTACCGAGCGGCAGTGCTGTGTTTAAGGGCTTTGTTTTCGTTGTTTCACCGTAACTGAAAGTGTTTTGGTACTTGATTTACAAAATATAAGGTAATTTCTAGATGTTCCATGCTGAAACAATTCTTTTTTATCATGTCTAATGCTCTAGATTAACCCTTAGACATAGTCAGTTTTTTCAATAAAATCGCAAAAGTATGACCCAAAAAATATACTTTACACCTCTGAGCACCTCGTAATTTTACTCGGAAGTTATTGTCATGACTCTAGACTATCTTTTAGTCTGAATGGCAGAACCATAGTCCACCATAGCCTCAAGTTATTTCTCATGAAAAATGACGTTTTCGCGTTTCTTAGCAGTCACTACTATTAGCTATCATATGCCATTCACTATGCATTTTATCATGTTCCACTCTCATATTCTATCAAAACAGATGCCTTAGAGCCTAAATTTACCCAGGCAGAATAATACGAGTTGATGGGGCTGATCGGAAGGAATTGAAACTTATGCTCAAGAACAGCGAAGAATCGCCTCGGGAGGCCACTTTAAAGGTCCCGTAAAAGTTTTTTTTTGACGTTTTACCATGTTTCAAACACATAATCTATCAGAATGGATACATGTAGGCTCAAGTTTAGCTTGGCAGATGAAAACGCGTTCAAACGGTTGATCGGTGGGACTTGAAAGTAAGGCTCCCAAGCGATAAAATCGTCTTAGGAAGCTACTTTGAGGTCCCGCAAAAGTTTTTTTTTGACGTTTACCCATGTATCAAACACATAGTCTAACAAAATGGATATATTTAAGCCTAAGTTCAGCTTGGCAGACGAAAACAAGTTCAAACGGCTGATCGGTGGAACTTGAAAGTAGGCCTCCGTAGCCATGAAACTTTGAAGTATTATCCTGAGCTGTCTTTTTCAAGTTCCCTTGACAGTAGTGTTCGACGAAGTTCTACTTTTAGCTTCTTATAGTCCATCCAATGTAAAATTTAATTGTGAAGCTTAATAATAAAAAAAAAAAAAAAAAAAAAAAAAAAAAAAAAAAAAATTCCTCCGGGGATCGAACCCGGAACTTAATATTTACAGGTAGGACACGGTGTCCACTACACCACCGCGGAACCATTGCAATATCGCCCCAATTTAAGGTTTTTCGACAAATTATACCGCAGTTATAAAAAAGTATAAAAATGTGTAAATTGATTTTTTTTCTGAAAAATGTTAGCATATCTGCACTCAGCGACCCAAAAAACCCCTGAAAACTCATGTTTCAAGGTATAAACATACATATCTGATTTAATGCCGCTTAAATCGGGCTATGGGACCATAGTGCGGCGTTCTTCCTTAGCACGGCAGAATGAGGATAAGGTACTTAAACGCGCTAACGGTTCGCCGTAAAATTGAAGAGTAGGCAACTTATAAAACATTCGCGCGTGGCCGTGAAGTAGTTTGCGCATATGAAGGAACTTCTCCTGCGGAAATTCGCAATGGAGAATGCCGATTCCCAGCAATTTCAAGAAGAAAAGTATCACCAATGAGGGTTTGAGGTGGTTTTGAAAGATCGCTATTGAGTGGGATATAAATGAACTCATGTCATTTATGAGCCCAACTTCAAATGAAAGAACTCAATTCATTCCAAAATTGAGATTTCCGCGGTAAAGACGCTACTTGATATAAAATGCCAACTGAGATTTTTGGAATACAATGAGAGTACTTTTCAATTTCCCTTTTCAAAAAATGAAAATTGCACGGGAATAGAGCCACGTTTCGGCTGAAATAAATTCGAGATTTCCTCCATCCTATTTGAGCGCCAAACGTAGCGTAAATTATATGTAAGCATTGGTCTGTGTATCTACGTTACAATATAGGTATAAAAGAGAAACCGAAGTCGTTACTCTGAGTGTTTAGCAGAGAATGGTATTCATCTATTTTTCAATGTTCTTCCGTCTAAGAAATGTAAATTAAAAGAGAAAAAGAGAGGGAAAGGGGGTCTCATTTCATTGCAGTGTTCAAAACTAAAATGTATCCATTTCCGCAGGTACTTTAGCAATTTTAGAAATTTTTGTGGAATTTTTTTGTGATCAGACGAACATTTCCTGGAATTTTCGCCGTAAAACATAAGTCCGCCGCGGTAATAAATAAAAAAATAAACTACTAGGTAATTTGTGAAACATCGCGATACGGCATTTAGCCCATCCGGCTCGCACCTCCTCAATTGTAGGAGAATTGTCATATTATGTTTGCACGTGTTCGTACTTAAACTAAATCTAAATATGCAAGAACTTGTCTAAAATGAAGAAAAAATGTGGGGCTAACGCTAACGTACAGCAAAAATGCCTAAAAAATGAGCGAGGAACATCGGAACAACAGTGCCCATGGAAAAGTTTTTTTTTTTTTTTTTGTCTCTGTTCGGTCTGTTAGAACGGTACACGATGCTCCCTAATAATAAACTCCGCTAAAGGTCATCAGGTTTGCGTTTGCCGGCATACGCCCGTTCCGTCTCAAAGTTGCCAAGTTAGCGAAAACATGTGGATATTTTACAAGGGTTTAAATGGAGAAAACTGCTGAATTTTCAGCACTATCTGCGACGATGTTCCGCCTGAAAGCCTATTTCGGCGGGATCCTCGCGCGGTTCCATACTTTTGTGCCCTCACCTTGACTGCTATGACAAGCAAGTGGACGTTGAACTCTGAACTATGAGGAACCTTCTTTCCTTTTGCATAATTTTTGAAGACCAGTTTCGCTATTTTTCGCACCGCGCTTTTCACACAACCGATCAGAGGGCGTGGCATTGCGATGTATCAATTGATCTGCCATTTAAACCTATGGAAAAGGATTGACAAACAGGGTGTTCGCAATGAACACCTTAATAATTGATTCTTTACCATAGCTTTAAATGGGGAAATATCGATAATCATTCACTCCTCGCCACTTAAACCGATACAATGAATGTGAAGGATATCTAATGTGTAAATCCTTCCGAAAATCGATTTCAGTTTTTTGATATCTTATTAATTTATTTTAGAGTACATTGCTTAAACCGTTTGGGCGGATTTAACCAAATTATCTTGACTGTATTTCACATAGTCTTGTTACCTCTCGTGCTCCATATTTTTAACAAAAAAGTAAACAACCTCTCGCCTTGAAACTCTCCACAGCGATCCATCTGTCCGCACACCTCTCCTTTTTTCCAACACGTATTGAAAACATACCTTATACTAAAATTTTAATTTAATTCAAACAAGTTTCACGGAAAATTTATACCTATCTGTCCAGAAAAATAGCCTAAATTTTCACCCCTTCTTTGCTTTTTTCTTTAAGAATTTTCTTCAAAAATGTTTGTTACATGGATGGTATGATATAAAATTTGACCGATACTATTTCATTTTTTCCAGCCATTTCAAGATTTTTCGGTGAAGCGAAGCTCTACTTTCAAGAATCGTCCTTCGCGCCTACACCGAACTCGCCTCAACTGAGATTCTTGAAAATGAAGCCAGCGCTTTAGCTAAATATTTTAAAATGACTGGGAAAAATGCACAAATATTGGTTTATAAGATACAGTCTTTCAGTGAATTTTATCTGGACTTGATGATAAAAAAATTTGGCACAATTTGGTGCAAACTCTCAAGACTTTAACTTAATTTTTTAGTAGATACAAACCGTTAACGACGTGAGATTCATAATTGTGAAAGATTCGCTGGTAGAGAGCCTATCAAGGTTGCAACTAAAATGCATCACATTTAACTGACCGGAAAATTTTATCTGGAGATTTTATAGTCATTTTTATCAAATATATTCTTGACTCATGCAGATAAATTTATTGATTAGGCGAGACTTTGAAAATCGTTCTCAAAATGACTTACTGGCCCTACTCTCTTATTTATTGAACTCTACCTAAATATTTTGACCAGGTGACATGCTGAAAGATTGAAAAAAAACCTAGATGAACTTGTTGAAAAATTGGGGAAACTTTTTTTCTAGTGCGAAAGGAGTTGTAAATCCTTACATTCTACTTCTTTTTTCTTTCTTTTTTTTAAAAAAAAATGTCATTGTTTTCGATTTCTGGAAAATTTTACTGTGAAAGAAAGTTTACAAATTCAATAGAGTTTAGTTAACTTATTTGGGCAGACAGATTCCGACTTTCAAACCTTGAAATAATCTGCAAATTAAGGTCATCCGATGAATATGTGGGGTTTTCAATTTAACCTGTTTTTTAGATTGTGCATGTTTCCGAGTCAGGCAGAGAGTGGCTCATTCATTTTACCTTAACATAGAAATGAAGAAAAGAGAGAGTAAATAAATCCTATACCGTGCTTCACAAACTTAGAAAGTATGCTCTGATGTCATGACCGTGGAATAAGACGACTCTAAATTGGGTAGGGACAAAACATTTATTTAAAAAACGGACCTAGAGCGTATAAAACTAAAAAGTAACAGAGGAACATTGATTTAAATTCTATCGGCAGGTTTTGCTCCGTGTTTTCAGCCGGTGAGCCATGGCGGGAAATGTCAAAATTTGAACGTTCCGGCGCTTTTCCGCCACAACTCAACGCACTATTCACACGTGAATTTGTGAGAGATTCTTGGGAAAACTGAGAGAGATGATTTAGCGGACGTAGGCGGCAGCGGCCAAGGAGGGGGCTAAGGGAGCAGCGTAGGCAGCTGGGGCAGCGTAGGCAGCTGGGGCAGCGTAGGCAGCTGGGGCAGCGTATGCAGCTGGGGCGGCGTAGGCAGCTGGGGCAGCGTATGCAGCTGGGGCGGCGTAGGCAGCTGGGGCAGCGTAGGCAGCTGGGGCAGCGTAGGCAGCTGGGGCAGCGTAGGCAACAGGGGCAGCTGGGACAGCGGCAACGGCGGGGGCGGCGGCGTAAGCGACAGCTGGGGCAGGGGCTACTGGCACTGGAACATGGCGGGCAGCGTGGACTACAGGTTGAACGACGGGGTGGACTGGGTAGGGTTCCTTGACGACGACTGGGGCAGGTTGGACTACACGGGGAGCGGTGTATTGGACAGATTTGTACGGGATGGGCACGTCACGGAGAACTGGCTCTGGCTGGGTGACCAAGTGGGGTTGGCGGATGATGTTCAACTGGGTGGGGGCCACCTGAGTCTTGCTCAGGAGGACCGGGGGCAAGGCATGGCTGGCGGCCGCTACGGCGAGGATAGCACTCAACAATGCCTGTGACAAAAAGAAAACACCCAGTTACGTAAAACGTCGGGAAAGAAGTGACAATGGTGAGACTAAAATAAACCGTAACAGTGAATGTTATAATTTAAACCGGGAAATGTTGGCCACTGGTGGAGAGCTAATAATATCTTCCTTTTGACCTTCAAAGGTGCAAGAGAGGGCTGTAGGAAGCTTGCTCGTTGGAATTGTGGATACCTCATTATTTTTTGCTTGCTTGGATCAATGAAGTTTATTTTCAATGAAAACAGGAGCAATTTTAAAATGGCGTTTCCGCACTTTCTTTGAGGCACGAGTAAGGATAGTAATTAAAGAAAAAACAAAATACCACAAAAAAAATTACCACCTAAAATTCTAAAACCACGTATTATGCTCACGATTTTTCAAAAAATCCTCTTCTATTTCATTCTTCTTGCGGAAGAACAAAACAACATCATTTTTCGAAATTTTCACGGTACATTTTGCATGCAGAGACAGAAATTCATGAGTTTTCAAGGAATGACGATGAAATGTTTTCCCACTCAAAAAGTGCCCACAAAGTTACGTGCGGTTTGGGATTTTCATCATCGACATTCCTCCTTAAAAAAAAAAATATTAATAAAATCCATAAAATGACATTGGTCCGAAAGCATAGCATTGATGGGTGAAAGATGTTGCCTCGCTTGCATGACTGAACAAAATTAAATCGTGGAGGTATGCGAATAGTATCGCGAATAGTAATAATATGCGAAAGAAGTATTTGGCAAGTCACGAAGGAACCGCGCCCTCCATCGGTATGTAACATTTCGTTGCCTACCTAACATAAGGGCGTAACTACACTCTGCAATGAATCCTGCCTTCCATACATTTCAATACTTTTCCGGGCTCATCTCAATGTGTAGTTACGCCCTTATGTCAGCCAAGCGACGATTTGTAACGAACAGAAAGCAACCGGATGAATAGCCATCTTGAAAGGAGACGAAAACACAAACTGAGGTATTTGAACTATTCTTATATTTCATCTGTGTCTTTCTTAAAGCAAATTTTGCGCAAAAATACTAACATCTCAATTATAAAAAAAAAATTAAATAAAAAAAATTAAATAAAAGAATAAATAAATAGTTTTAAAAAAATGTATTGTAACTTTTTCATTCATGTTCCTGCAACATCGATGCTTGGTTCGAAACATTTAGAGCGAAACGAGAGCGCAAATAAATTCATCGAAGCGCAAAGCAAAATTAACCTAAGCATTTTTTGCAGAACCACTTGTTGCCTAAAATGTTGACGCTTCTCTTCATTTTTTCTTGCCTGCGTTTAAAAAATATCCGAAAAAATGTGGTTGACATAATTTAATGATAGCCCTGCAGAAGTTGAAAATCGGAATATGTATGGAGATATATAAACTGAGAAAAGATCTTGATTTGCAAATTATGTATGTAATTCCTGTGAAATTCAACAGCAAGCCTGCCCTGCTAAGGAGGAGCAGTAGACTATAAGGAGGAGGAGGAGACTCTCAGAGTAAATAGACTTTAACCTCGACTCGATTACATGGCATCTTCAGGACTGATCTCTTATTTATCCTCTTTTTTTGCACGTTTAGATTTCAATTTCTTATTATTTTAGCAAACATTTGCTTCTAAAAACTCGCAGAGTAAGAATTGAAAAGCGACAGAATCACGATAAACGCCTAATTTTCCCCTAGGTACATAATTATGTACGAAGAAAGAAACTGCCGCTCTTAAATACATAAACTATAGCTTGATGAAGAGAGTAGCCTCTTTTTCTTCTCTTTGTGCTCCAAAAAGTTCGTTGTTAAGCACTTAATGTAAGTATCTTCTGCTGAACATTTGGTGCAAACTTTTGCTCAGATGAAGCGCAGTTTTTTGTCGTTGAGACGTTCTAGTACTACTCCTTCCCCCTCCCCACCTGGGCCCTAGACTCATCTATAGAACGATTAAAAATGGAGAAAATAGAACGATAGGTAGAAAATTTAGAGTTGAATACAATTATTACCGACGCTGACTCTAATTTCTGCCACTAGAAGGCGGAACCCTTTGTAAAGTTAGGAGACTTAAACGCTCGGGTAGCAATCTCTGAAATCTCTCGAGCCTTCATATTAAATGTTTCAATCTGCCAATTAATGAATATTTTATGGTCAATGACATGGATCATTTTTAAAAAGAGAGAATTTTCAACGTGCAGAACTTGAATTTTTTCGATGACTTCGTGCACACCGTACCAGATGTGGGCAAGTCCGTTCATATACAAACATTTCCCAGATTATGTATTGCATCACGCGGAAGCAAAATTACTCTCTTGTAAATTTCTATGTTACTCTCTTGTAAATTGTAAATTTCTTCTTTGCCAGATATCTTTCAAGAATATTACCTTCAAGAACATATGCAAATTTTAAAATAATAGTTTGATGAAAAAAATAAAAAAAAAAATCACCTGCAAATTCGCCTATCGAAACCGAATTACCAATTTCCTCAGTGAATTTTGAAAAATCTATGTTTTTGATTGTGACGCGACGTTTTATACGACCTAGCATGTTTTATTTTCTTAAAAGCAAACGATTTAAAATTCTCTCTTGAATTTTTTTCTCGCTTTTTTATATTTATTTTATAAAGAATATACCAAAAATTATTATTGCACAAAAATTTAAAACAAAAATAATATTTCTTCATCGTAGGAAAAATTAAGTCGATTTATACAATTGAAGAAATAAAAATATAGAATATCATAATTTATGGACATTTTATCAGAATTTGTTATTATTATTCACAAATTTGACAAATTGAGACTTTTTTTTAAAAAAATAAAATGTATATACGAGTATAGTAGACATGTAAATTTTGAAACCTAGTATTTGAAATACGTATATTTGGATATTCGACACCGAATTTCAACAGCCATGTAGCTGTAAGTCATAAGTTATTTCTTTTCAATTTGGAATAAAACCATAAAAAGAAAATTTTAATTGGAGAGCGAAGCAAGAAGAGAAATACTTACGAATCGGAACATGGTGAGATGGATTTGAATGATGCTACTAACACAAGCCGAAACAAAACGAGAGCCAGCTGCCACTGAATTACAATTCCAATCCCCCGTGCTTTTGTATTTATATGGCCGGCCAGCCCAGCCCCTTCGAGGCTGAGAAATTTTCAGTCAAAAGGAAAAAAAGACCGCGTTGAATCGCCTCACCATCATCTGCTGCATTGCCAATGCTCGAAATCAGACAATGTAAAACGCAACTTTTTTCTGAAATATTTGGGGAGCTTGGTTGTGTTAGGTTAGCAATAAAAACAATTTTTCCATATTTTAAGACATTTTTCAATTTTTCGAAAAAATACTCCATTTTCAGGATATCGTAGTTAAAACTTAGAATTGTTGGCAACAGTTCGAGAAAAGCGAACCACCCCACCCTTTCGATGAAGTGACCACACCTAATTTAATCGCCGCTTGGCAAAGTTTTATTTTTGTTCCTTCTTGGCCTGCGTTTCCCTCGTGTCATTGCCTCAGAAAGACTCTCTCTGGACCGGTTAAACTTTTGTTGCCAAATCTTCAAGAAGTATACACAAGTTTATAAATAAATTTTCTTCGATTTTACATAAACAGAAGGATCAGGACTCATTGCTCGGACATTTACCTAGGCTGGGAAATTGAAACATTTAATATGAAGGCACGAGAGATTTCAGAGATTGCTACCCGAGCGTTTAAGTCTCCTAACTTTACAGAAGGTTCGGCCTTCTAGTGGCAGAAATGAGAGTCAGCGTCGGTAATAATTGTATTCAACTCTAAATTTTCTACCTATCGTTCTGTTTTCTCCCATTTCAATAGTTCTATAGATGAGTCTAGGGCCCAGGTGAGGGAGGGGGAAGGAGCAGTACTAGAACGTCTCAACGACAAAAAACTGCGCTTCATCTGAGCAAAAATTTGCACCAAATGTTCAGCAGAGGATACTTACATTAAGGGCTTAACTGTGGCAACGCAGCAGTGATCGATCAATCTAATTATCCATCTTCATTACTTATTTGAACCGGGAAATGAGGAAGAACGAGAAAATCTTTCGGTTCATTACACCAGGTAGTCTAAAGTTGTAAGTGGGGGTATTCCTCGACAAAACCACTCTCTGAAAACTTATTCTCTCTTAATACTCTCCTAATTCCTGAGAACTAAAGTCACCTTCAATGGCCATAAGAATGTCAGAGGTTAAGCACCAGCGATTGGATATGATTGGTTTTAACATCAATCAATTGAGCTCGGGAATACACATGTACTGAGACTTAAAGGCTCCGCCAGAAAAAAAGACAAACTAAAATCGGACCGCATTTTGCAATGAGGAACTCTAGTCTGTCTGGCTCATCCCTAGAAGCACCTATTTGCATAGAGAATGGCACGTATGTTGTTTCTAAAATGAGTGAGAAAGAGTTGTTCATGTGTTGCAAAATGTAGTCCAACTGTTCTCTGTATTGATGTGGCTAAGATCATTAAACAGGGATAAATCCATGAATTTTCTTGAAATATCCGGGTCAGAGAATTTCCAATCAGCACTGATGTTCGATTTTTTTTTTATCTCTCTCTCTCTCCCTCTCTCCCCCCTCTCTTACCCCTCCNCCCCCCCCTCCACGACCCACGCGACAAGAAGCGTACAAAAGCGCGAGGCAACTATTCTATCACCCGAGCTTAGCACAGTATCACTCGACATCGAAGGCGAACTTAACAGCCTCCTATTTATTCCTCGCCGTATTTTTGCCGCTTCTTTATTTCTTCTCTTCTTTCCTACCTTCTTTATGTTTTGATTTTCATCTCACTGTTCCATCTTCCCTTTCCTCGCGGAATCAATAAATGCGCTGATCTGCCGGGAATCGTTGTATCCCTGTACCACAGCATTCCAAAATCATCATAGTTATGTACTCATAAAGGGATTAAAGAAGATAAAACGTTAAAAATTGGAGAAGAAAGACAGCCCAGTAAAATAAATATAATATGCTCCATCTATTAATGAAAAATTCATGATGTAGTGAAGGCCATGTAGCTTTTAGAATTATATTTGCGCAAATTTTTACGCACTTTACACCAAAATATTACATTTTTTACTAATTCGGCAGTTTTTCTTTTTACGCCTTCTTGAAATTTCCACTCTCCTATTTGAGGCGCTTGGAGAACAAGGCACATAGGTGCATTTTTTTTAAAAAAATTGAGATATAGGTAATGATTCCAAGTTAAACTAGTCTTAATGCATATTCTGTAAAAAATTGACCTCCACATTCCAATTTTAAGCATCAAAAAGTCAGTTTGATCTTTTTTTCCCGTTATGAAGATCCACGTAATTCCGAAACTTCAAACGTGTATTTTTCGCAAAAACTGTACCTACTTATGCGCCATGTTCTCTAAACCCCACAATTCTATTCTCCGCGAGGATGATTAGCGAAAGTTATGAGTCTGAAGAATATAAACGTTTCTCGAAATTCATAAGCAATGACAATTTTTATTGCTTTAAAAAAGGAAATGGAAGTAAACTAGACGATGAAATTACAGTGTCTGAAATTCAGCATTGAGCCATGTAGCATTGATTCGGTTGAGCATAGGGGAGAATTTCATGAGCACTGAGCAGCCGCCAACCCGCGGCGCACCATGGCCCAAAACTCAAGAATAGGAAGAAATAAGTCGGATAACGACTGAAAGATCAAGAAAGTTTCAAAACCGATAGTATTTTAAGTCGCTAATTTCGAATTTGATGTCAAATTGCCTACGTTTTAACACCCTGACCTATTAATTGTGCGCAAGTTTATGGCACACTGCGGCGTGGCTGGCGTGCTGCCGCTGCCAGCTCAAAACGCGCACTGACGCCTACAAACCTAAAGGGATACTTCAAGCATTGCGCAATGCGTGAAGTATCCCTGTTAGGTTTGTAGGCGTCGGTGCGCGCTCCGCGCTGGCAGCACGCCGCGGCTCTCCTGCCAGGTGGCGGGTGGGGAACGATTTCTTGCGGGGAGAACTCCCTCTAGTGGAGAAACCGGAGTGTAGTGAAATTGTTCATTTTTTTTTTAAATTTTCGACTTTTAAATTTTCGACTTTTAAAATTACAGACTGGTAGTGTGAAGAAACTAGTGAACTCTCAATGCCAGAGGAAGTTAGTGTAATAATGAAAGGCGGGTCGTGCGCCATGCGCGCTGCGGATGGCGCGGAATTTTAAAAATCGCGGTAACACAACTAACCGGTTGATTCGTATGCAGTGGCAACAGTCACCAGAACCTAACCCAGTCTTATCAGTTATCAGTGCTTTTGTGTTTTTATTTACAATCAGATTTCAACCCTTTGATGCTTTTGCAGTTTGTCTTTACCTCCCTTACATTCTTTTCAAGTGTGTCCTCACGCGTTCTAATTATTATTTCTATTACAAACTATCGGTTAACTCATATCTATTTCGAAGGCCCCTTTTCTTGTACATACATCATCAGTTCCAAACAAGTCACTAGTCTCAACATTATTTATCGTTCAGTGGGTTTGGCTAATTGCATTGTAAGCTATAAGCATACTCATACTCCTCAACTCATAATGGAATCTTCGGAATCTTTTACTACCCTGCCATTCATCTTCATCGGCATCTTCCTAATAAGTAAATCGCAAACGTAAACAGAACCTAAAATATTGAATTTCTCTTTAAGTAGGTAAGTGTTTTTCAAACCACCCTTTAATTTCGATGCAAGATCAGAATAAAAGTTATTTATCAAGTATTATTCTAAAGCAATATTGATACTCAACTGCGATTCCACAGTTTTCTAATATGTCAGAATGTGAGTCTTACTTAAGCGGTATGCATGAGAGTGAATTTCATCAAATGTAGTTGTTTGTTAAGTTATGCGACCTCACAACTCTCAAAGAGGCCCAGTAGTTATTCATCATTTCAGAGAATCTGAGAATCAAGCATTCTGAGAGAATCAGAAGAGCATCGTCACGAAGGGTATCTTTTCGCTTTCTGCTTTAACCCTCTTAAATTTGTAATTATTCTGGTGAGATTTCAATGGAGCGTAAATTGTGTCAGTGACATCTGAAGCCTGAGGAAGGTTACAGAAATACTTCACAGAGACTAGCTATTTTTTTTACCTCACTGGCCAAAGATTAAGTGCATTTTCCCTCAAACATGTTCATTTCAGAACTTATACGATCTCTCACGTTTTCATAAAATTATGAATTGGTTTTTCAAACAAATTTTTCCTCTTTGTCAGTTTTGAATTGTTACTTACTGACTCTTCATTAACAAACTGTTCACTCTTCAGAGAGATCTCACATCTGTTGCCACAAGCAGGGGTTACAAACTTTTTAGTATTTTGTCAATTTTATTTTTACTTTTTTGTCACCCGGTTGACAAGGGGTTGATACTTACCACCCTGAAATGTCCAAGGCACTTTAATATTTGTACCAACCACCTTTTTTACCTATTTCTTACCTTTGTTTTCATTACATTATTCAGGCTGTGTGTTGTAGGTTCAAAGCACAATCATTGAGCAGCCATGAGTCGCAATCTGGACTCTTTAACATCTCTCACCGAGTTTGACCCGCCAAGCCCTGAGCCTAAAGAACCCTCTGTCTCATCTATGTTCTTCAAATTTTTTAGTTTTTCTAAAGGTAAGTCAGGTTTTAGCTCTGCAATTGAAGTTAGTGATGAAATTTAACTGAGTTTTGAGCTGAATTTTTTTTTTTTTTTTTTTTTTTTTTTTTTTACCAATTTCAAGTAGCCTATCGGCTAATCCCACGCTTATTACCCCAGCCCCAGGTGACCATTGCCTGAGACCATCAAACTCAGATCACCTGGCCGGGAATTGAACCCAGGACCTCTTGGTCATAGGGCCAGCATTACAACCACTACACCACAGGAGGCCGGCAATTAAGTGGAAAAATTCTATTTCTGGGGAAAAGTCTTCGCAGGCCAAAGTAAAAGTGGCTTCCTTATAAAGAGTAACACATTTCGACGTTATAAGTCGGCAATCACATAACTCGTTTGCGGTGTCTGAAAATCTCCGCCTCTATGTTATTTTATTAAAAGAGAACAAATTGACATCATTCCTTGAAGATTTTGCAGAATTTTCTTTGCCGAGAGAAGAAAAATCACAGCAGTTTTGAAGAATTGCTGTTGAGTGGTTTTCCGTTTGAAAAATAAAGTATGATAGGAAGTCTGCGACGTCGCAAATCGAGTTATGTGATTGCCGACTTACACCGTCGATTTGTCATCAAAAACATGGAGAAATCGATGAGTTTATTTGTAAGAAACAATATATCCTACTGTTACTAAGTATGTTTTTCATATCACTGGATTTTTCTCTTTACATCATACCCATAGGTGATGGAACTGAAGACACAAAATCTCTACCACCAGCTCAGACTAGCTCAGAGTCCTCCAATAATCCATCAAGAAGTGAATCTTCGGAACAAATATCTGATAAAATTAAGGTAAGAGGTTTGCAAATTTTTATCTATTTCTAAACCTTTGCCCCGTACTCATTGTCAGTTGTAACCAAATATTGCCCAATTTTGTAGTAAGACATTGATCAGACATTGTTGTAAGTTATTAGTATCATTATTCAACCCATAATTATTCTCAGTGATAACTTTTTTTTCTTAAGGATCTGACTAATTTTTTTGCCCATTATGTCAAGATCGATTTTAAAAATCTTTGAGCTCATCAAATTATTTTTTCTAAAAATTTCATCCAAATTATTGAAACCTTTGGTTATAATACTATGTAGTCTTTTTGAAAAGTTCTCTGGAAACCACAGTCTATTCAAAATCCGGTGAAAATTAAACAAAACTTAATTGAAAGAATTCTCAAAAATGACTTTTAAGAAAAATACTCATCGAATGAAATATTCCCCTCAATCAGCCCTATTTATGTGAAAGTTTAAGATAAGACTACAATTTGCTAAATAAAGGACAAAATTAGTGCACTTCCTACATTTTTACTGAAAACAGATGGGAACCAATCAAGAAGAATGTCATTTTGCTTTTTGAATGCTTTTCCCTCTATGTGAGTTATATTTTCTTCAAGTAATGCAAATGTCTACATTTTTATACAAATATATCACCTCAGTTACAATCCGAGCCTACCAAAAGGGTCTGGTATATATTCAAGGTCTTTGAAGTCAAGAATGTTATTTTTGGATGAACACTGAGTGTCAAAGGTGAAATCATAAAAAATGTGGATCTTAGTCTACGAATTTGAGATTTTCTTTCATATTCTATTTTGTTGAAAACTGAACAATATTTCATTTCTTTTTGTGTCCAGAGTGATCTTTCAGATACTGTCAGTTTGCCTGACCAACTTCAGTCTGGAGCAAATGAGGGAAGAAGTCTTCCCAATGTTTTGAAACGAGTGAGAAATCTTGTAGCCTTACGTAACACTGTAAGTACTTTAAAATAATGACGAATTCCAAACTTAATACTCAGATATTAATTTTTCATAGCCTGGTATGTTGTTCATCATGAGTTTTAGTATTTTACTTTTCACTTTACTCTACACGTTCAACTCTTTCGACAAGTGGTTGGAAAAACGTTACGCTTTAAAGTTTAAATACAAAATCAGCCTTGTTTGATTAGATTTTCACCAATTGTTAAAAGTTACTGATCCAATGCATCTAGTATTACAGCTCTTAAAGTAATAGAGATGATGCAATAGTTTAATTTTTTTTTGTTGATTCTTCTTTTCTGATAAAGAAATGTATGTCCCATCTGTCATTTGGTTTGCTGCCCATGGCAAAGGATCAGGTTTCGATGGCTTATGCGCTCGGACATAACATATTAAAAAAGGTAGACATTAGCTCAAGCAAAAAATAATTTTTTGACTGGTATTATCTTGTGCCATCTAACTCAAAGTTCCAACCATCAGGTAACAATTTGAGACATTTTCAATCGATCCAAAATAAGAAATTGAAGAAAGGAGGTGCATTTATGTTTTTTCAATTTGATAACTCCAAGCTAATTTTAGAGAAAGCTGTTCATCAGAATTGAAACGATCACATCCTTCTGACTATCTTCATTTTTCCTTAGATTTTTTATCAGGAACTTTATTTGCACAAATTTGAGTGACTGTGGTTTCCTTTTGCAGGGTTTGCAAGCGTACAAGGACACGGACCTTCAGCAGTATTGGATGCCTGATTCTAAGAGCAAAGAGTGTTATGACTGCAGCTGCAAGTTCACTCTATTGATTCGTCGGCATCATTGTCGAGTGTGTGGCCAGATTTTTTGTTATCGTTGTTGCAATCAAGAAATACCTGGAAAAATCATGAATTGCACCGGTTAGTATGTGGGCTATTATGTGCTAAAGTAACCTCAACTTTTGACCAACTTATTGACTATTCCTCCTCTGCCTTGTTTAGAGTTTCCTGATGTATATTCATAGCTTATTTAAAAAAAGTCTTTTGCATTGTGAATTTTTATCAATTATCTGCACCAAGAAAAAATACTTAATTAAGACTTATATGAATCGTAAACTTGAAACATTCAAAACCTTCAAACAAAAATCAAACACTCTTTACATTTAAGATGAGGCAGAAATTAAAAATTTAGGTGACTGAAGTTAAGCCATTATAATCCACCGACCACAATAATAACAATAACATTCAACCAACTTCACTGAAAATTAATAAAGCAGACTGCCCCTGGACTTTCGAACTTTTTGTTTAAGTTTTGATTTTAATATTAATTTTGGATTCATAGGTTTTAAATTTATGCTTCCTTAGAAGCATAAACAACTAAAATAAATGCTGATTTCAAATTTCTTGGTAAAACAGCATGACGGCTATTTTCGTCCCTAAGTTATAGAGAAAGGGAGGCATTCAATCTCATACTTATTCTGTCACGTTTAGGAAGAACACAGTACAAACATTTGAGAGTTGCCAAATTTGCTCCAGGAAATAAGGAAGTAATATTTATTTTAAGGAGAGTCATGTAAATTTTCTCTTGTAATTTTCAGATAATTTAGATCTGATGCGAATAAAATTTTCTGAAATATTATTTCCCTGAATTCTCATACCTTATCAAAGAAAATTTGGCAAAGTCTGAAAGCTCATAAGGCATTCTTCCAAGACACAACAGTTGATTCCTCACTTTTCACCCTTAATCATGAATCTCCCGTTCAGGTATACAAAAAGCCTCCCTTTTTTACTTTTCCAAAACTCATGAAACTACTTTTACCGTCTATTTTGCAGTTAAAAAAAAAGAAAATAAGCGGTCTAAATTTTTGTTTTGTTTTATCCAGGTGATCTAAGGGTATGCACATATTGCTGCAAAGTAGTTTTATCCTATTTGCAATCTGCAGATGTAGACGCAGATCTTTCTGCAGATTTACGCGCACTTCAAGAAGATCTACAGTCGAAATTTGGGAGCAACTCTGAACTTTCATCAAGCTTATTGCCATCAGAAAGCCCAAATAACTCAACCATCAGTCATAAATTGTCCACTGCTAGTTTGGATAGTGAGGATACAGCAAAAAGAAAAACATCTGTCGGATATCAAGAAGAGAGATTTGCCCAAGGGAGGTAATAAGAACTTTAAATGTTTGACTTATTTCTCAAATTTAGTATTTCTGTTCTCCGGCAAACCTAGCTTTTCTATTTGTAGCAAAAATGCAGATGTTCATGATCAGTTGCCTATGATTCAAATTTTTTCGGAAGAGCTCTTTAATTGAGAATGAGAAAAGGTAAGGGTGCTCTGACCAATTCTTGCTGAGAAGTCATTGATATGTTTTGTCCCAAAATATAGGTTAACTCCAATAAACCTGCTTCTGTAGGAACTAACCAAACTCCAAATCAATGCGTTGTTTTTCCATTTTAATTTTTTGTCTCATTTTTCTCTCCATTGGGTTGCTCATTCTGTAGACTTATGTATGTACATGGCAATATGTAACTCTTTTTTGCCAGCCCTGAAACCTTTAATAGGCATCTATAAGGGTCTTCTCATTGTTACTCCTTTTTAATAAAACCGTATTTGAAGGTTACCCTAAATCAGTAGGACATTCTTGGAAGAGGGAAAGTAGAGCACCAAGCATTCCTTCTTCTTTTGTAAATATTTAGATTTAAGTGGTGGGAAGGAAACACAAACTGATCGATTAATTTTAAAGAACTTTCCAAAAAATAGTTGATGATGAAAGGGAGCAAGAACAGTCAAAACAAGCCTGTCCCTGTTAAATTTTTTATCCTATGTGAATTCTTTAAATTCGAGGGAAAATTTTCTTTAGACTCCATTGAACGGTTCGTGTGTTACCTCAAATCCCCTAATTTTTACAAAGTAATCAATTTTTATTCAGGTAGTTTTTTTTTTTTTTTTTTTTTTTTTTTTTTCTTTTGCTCTAACTAACTTACATGATAAATTTTTCAGATCTGCGTATTTTGGTTTTGCCTCTTCTCCGTCTATTGATGACAAATTTTGCCGCAGTCTGCAAAATTCTGCCTCCCTCCAAAGTCTCGTAGATGAAATGAAAGACCCAGCCAATGGTCTCTCATTTCAAACATACAAACACCGCTCTGTCACTTGTTACTCTTGTTTGCTTGGATATCAGTTGGTCGACTGGCTACACGCAAAGGGGAAAGTGACCAGCCGGTAAGTCTCTGAGCATTCGGTAAAAACAAAGCATTCTGTTGTGTAACACCATGAAGAAGATTGAAAATCCAAATTTTTCATCCCATAAGCATGAAAAAGAAATTACAGACTAGTTCTATCACTGAAAAACTGGACATTAAATATCAGAGTAAAGGAGGATTTATTCAAAAATTTTCAAACTTAAGTCCACCAGCAAAAATTATGGCTGTGGATGGACAAAAATCTGAAAAGATGCCATCACCCTCATAAATTGTTGTATGCACAATCACCAGTTGGAAATAATTATATCGATTTGTTGAGCAATTTAGCATTATTTGAAGATTTGTAAACGTTATCTCCTTTGTCCAGTAAAATTGCAAATTTCAGACAAAGATTTGACAAACGCAGTTCCTCTTTTAGAGATCTTTTAAAAGAGGAAATGAACACTGAATGTTTTTGCTAAAAATTATACAATCAGATAAGTTTTCAGATCGAATCTATACCTTTTTATAATTGAATTATCATTTGACATCGTTCCGAATTAGGAAGAAATTCGTTTAGCGAAAAAAATTATAGTTAGCCACTTCCAAATTTAATTAAACCTCAGAATTTTAAAATTTTTGCTTGTTATGGCTCTAAAACGATGTTTGTTTGATGTTTCTTTTCCTGAAAATAATGCTATTTAATAAATATGATGTCCTGAAAGTTGTGTATTCCATTCAGGTCGCTAGCTGTGGTTGTATGTCAAGCACTCCTTGAAGCGAACTTGATAGAGTGTGCATCAGCAGAACTTAGTTTTGTTGATGGCCCGGCATTGTATAGATTCTGTTCCTCAAGCAGTGGAGATTCAGACACTCCCACCTGGGAGGACATTACGAATTGTAACTCAACAGGTATGTAAGTTTTGAATTTTTGTCATTTTTAATGGCCTCTATGGAGTGAGGTTTTCTAATTCGGATACCTCAGACCCACCCCTCTAACTTTTGATCAAATTGATTTAAATGAAGTCCTTAAATCAAGAACGGGCTAAGTGCCAAAAAGTCAAGTTTCAGTTATTCAACATTTAGTTCCCACAGGTTGCCCAGCACATACCACATAGCGTTACCTATCGGGGCACTTTACACACTACTATCATGGTCGTGGCACTCAGCCTGCTTCACGGGTTGTTGTCCTTGGTACATAGAATGTTATTTGAGGTATAACTCGATTTTCATTTTGTTGGCCTTTAGCCTGTTATTGATTTAAGGTCTTCAAATATTTGAAATTTAGAAAGTGCTCTTAGACCAGAGGAAACCATTTTTGGAAGGATTAACGTTCAAAAAGCACAAAATCTTGGTCCAAACCGCAAGTCTCTATTCATCGTTGATTTCAGAGGCCACTCAATGTTTTGTAAATTTCAATTTTATCGGACGGCCATTTAGGGTAGCCATTAGGATAGATGAAAGATAGAAACCTCTGGTTTTGACTAAAATGTTAGGTTTGTATTAATTTTCTAATGATGTAGGTTGTAGGTATTCTGCAGTAGAGATTTGTGGGGAAAATATGGTGCCCCCCCCCCCATCACATCGCCAGCCCCCCACCCTTTAATTAAATTTTTATTTTCAGTTGAAAAAGACTTATAAAAATTAATATCCCCTCATGTACCTTGCTTTGTTCTGATTCAGATCAGAATATGAAGAACTTTTTCTTCTCGTATTTCCCCTGATCATTTGATCTGGATAGTCCTTAAATGGAGCATTTTACTCTGCTAGGCTGTGTCTGTGGAATGTGAGAACATCATCAGAATTGTTTTCATATTTGTTGCTTTGGACAGTGTTCACAGATAATATACCTTGAATTTTTTTTAAAGGCTGTATTCCACAGCTGAGATGCTGTCTGTTTTCATCATTTTCTACAACAACGACAACAACAAAATCTCTAATCTGTAACTAATGAAACGTTGCAAATTTGTCTCAACAACAGAACTGATTTTGATTTGGTTTCCAGATTCAAATATTAGGAATTTTAGCAATGATTCAGCTCCTTCAAATCCCGATGGAAGCTTTGATAACCAAAGATTGTACCCAGTAGATACCTCTAGCATGGACTCCAGTACTTCCTGTGCATCAGGTATGAATCATATTATTTCTAAACCACTTCTGCTTCTTTTCTCCAGAGCAGGGTGTCCTTCAGAAAATGTGGTATTCACATGGCTTTTGCATGGGGGCTTTGATCAACATATCCGAAATTATTTTTATCCACAAAAGCCAACTCCATGTTAAAAAGGGAGGAAATATAAACTGACAAAATGAATGGTTCTTCATGAGGAGAGTCTTCTTGACTTCTAGAATCATCTTCATGAAATTTTTTTTAAATCAAAGTTGCTCTTTTAACTATCAAATCAAAAATATCGATGATTTTTCTTTACAAAAATTTAATTCAGCCAAAACTTGGAAAAATTGGGCTATAAGAATTATCTGTTGCTTTGTTGCAGTAATGGAGGGCCGGAGTTGCAGCTGTTCCTCTGTATCTTAATTCATTAACTCACAGAAATTTATTCATCTGATTTAGTAGAGTTTTAGAAATGATCCTAAGTTCTAAGGTCCGGTGAGATTGCTGAAAACCCTCCAACTATCTCAAATTTTGATTTTACTAGGGGATACGCCGGTACGCCCCTAGACTGCTTCACAGTCCCACCCTTTGAAGTACTTCGCACCTCAGGTGTCCTGCATTACACATTACTCTTATGATTTTATATTATTTTTTAATTTTATATGTATATTATCTAAGAAGAATAGGCGTGTATATTGACTCTAACTTTTTTCATAAGGAACCGTATTGCACTGCACTACAAGAGATGAAATTTAGGTGTAGTATAACTTATCCATGAATAAAAAAGAAATTGAAAAATAAGAGGATGTTTGAAATCCACATTTTCGCAAGAAACAAAATAAATAATCTGAATTGACTTTGTCTATTGTTTAGGTTCGGAAAAGAAAGAAGTTTTTAATTTATTCAAGAATACAGAATCAAAAGATTTTTTAACCATGGCTTCTTTGAAGAACCTTATAAATGCCTATCAAGAAAGAGAACCTCACATCCGTCCTGTGAACTGGCACATCGTGAACCCTCAAGCTTTGCGTTCAGACTTTCAAGAAGCCAAAGTTTTTATAGATCTAAGGTATCTTTTTGCACTTCACTCATATATTATTTGATAAAAATTTTACTTGATACAATCAAAAGACCATTTTCAAATAACCACATTGTAGCCTTCCCCCTATTTTTTCTACTCAATCAGTAACCATTGATTTAGTATTTAAAGCCAAATAGCATAATATTGATGAATTCTTTTTCTGCTTCAAAGATCAAGGATAAATTGTAAAAAAATAAAAAAATATAAGATCGTTTCAGACTTTTTGAATTATCCATGAAGCTCTTATGTAACCTAGTAAAAATTATAAACTGTGAAAGCTAGTTAATGGGAGAGTCAATGTCTGTTGACTCTTAATGACAGAATCGGCGAATAAAAGTATACCTCGAAAAAAAGGGTGTCAATTTAACATCATTGAGGTTGAAAAATTTTACGGCAAGCCTTGCATTGTCAATGGGCCTGTCGGAAACTTTTGCTAGAACAAAAATAAGAGTCGTTACTCATAGGAAGTGTCTCAAAAATAAAGATGAGCAGCGCATCAGCAAAGTCTGAAATGCACTTCTTACCTCACAATTTGCATAAGAAATTTGCCTTTTTTCGAGCTTCCCGCTTCAAAAACGATACCTCAGCACGGGTGAACATTTTGTTAGAGGAGTCATTCCTTCCAACCCCTGCTCACAAGGACACTACGCAATATTCAACGTAGCCGACGCCAATCCGCCAAAACACATGTGACGGGCAGAGATGGAAAGTGAAATTTCATAAGGCTCGAATAAATTTCACAAAAGTTGAAATTTATTAATTTTTTTTAGGATTATTGATTTAACCTTTGGAGGTCTGTAAGCGTTTCAGATGGTCTTTCTGTTGATGCTGCGGTATTATGTTACGCTACTGAAGATGCCAGACACAAAGAGGGGGCAAAAAGGGGAGTTTAGAGAGAAAAACCCCAACCTAACCTCTAAACTTAACAAAAACATTTGCAATGCGCAATAATGTTTGAAGCGGGAAGCTTAAAAATACACAAATTTCTTATTTCTGAATGTGAAGTTAGAAGTGCATTTCAGAGTTTGTCGATGCGCTCATCGTGATTTTGGAGACATTATCTATAAGGAACAACTTCTATTTTTGCTCTAGCAAAAGTTTGCAACAGGCTCATTTTATATCCTGATAATGCCCACTTAATCTCCTCCGTAATCATTGTTCATTCAATATTGGCAATTGTTAAATTATCATCTTTTTTTTTTCTTTGTACAATTTTCCTGTTGTTTTCTTCCTGCCAGCAAGATATTGGTGTGAATTTTTCAGTACGTAAAACTGCTGGTTTTTATCCTATAAAATGAACCGTAGATTGCAGCACTGAAACATTGGAAAAGATTTTCTAGATTTTCTATATTGGAAGCTATATCAGCTGAGTGTTATCAATTTTTTCTTCCAATGATATTTAACTGGCTCATCTTTTAATTTGTTTTTAGAAATGCATTCACTCTGCATCGACAGAAGTTTTTGAGCCAGCTTCTTGCGTCTGCAGGGCTACCACTTTCATGGAGTGATGTAGTTATCCCTCTGGTGGATCGGGTTGTAGAGGATGTGAAACCAGATGTCAGTGAGAATCTTGACATCATTGATATTCGACAGTAAGTTTTGTAAAAAATCAAGTGCTGTATTGAATTTCTCTGGATCATTCCATTAATTGAAGCACTTCTGGAAAAAATTTCATCGCATTAAGATAGATCTTTGCAAGGTAGAAGCATGATTGTCTTTCTGAAAAAGAAATTTAAGATAACATAAGGCGAATTTTATTCAAGTAGGATTACTGAGAAGTATACAACAAAGAGTTCTAAATGGTGTAGCACAGCACATGAGCACTGAGCAGCAGTCGATCTCCTGTGGTTGTAGTGTTGACTCTATGATCAGGAGGTCCTGGGTTCAGTTACCAGCCAGGTAATCACACTTTGTTGGTCTCAAACAGTAATTTGCTGAGGCTAGTCATTAATAAGGAACTGAGGAGGGACGGGGCTTTAACTGTAAGCGTGATATTACCCTCTTGAAAGTACTTGAAGTAATTGAAAAAAAGAAAATAGTAATAAAAAAACTTAATTAATTTTAGTTATATGAATTTTAGTACCCCCAATATTTGTAGATGTTCAAAAATTTCAAGCAGGTGTACAAAAAATATAGGATCATAGGATGCAAGAGCTCAGGTCCATTCAGAAAAGACGGGGATTGTTAGGAAAGCCTTCTCGTGAGAGTATACTTTTTACTTTTTTGCAAAGATCATCTTGCTGAATAATGTGTCAACTTTCAGTCAATCTGTGCTTTTTCCCTTTTTGCAAAGTTCAATCGCACTGAAAAATGAGTCAATACCAGTCAGCTATGTACTTTTTATCTTTTACGAAACTTCTGGAAAACTAGGGGAATTCAGGAAATTGATTTCTTGGATCCCCTGTGAGTTAGGAGAGAAACTTTTTTCTGCACCCTGAGTTCAATTGAAGAACAGCTAATTTATGACTTACCCTCAGATTAATTTTTCTGTCCACTATCGGCTCATACGTACAAACATGTGTACGTATGCCCATATGTACATACATTATATACGAAAGTAATGAGCTAATGACTGAAATTTTTCAATAGGTATATTATATTGGCTTTTGGCTTTTTATTATTAGGCTTTTGACGTAGGGGACGCCCAGTGAGAGGTTGGCGACAGGGGGTGTTAAATGAGATAAGAGATTGTCAACTCCCTGATGACCTGTGGGAAGACCGAGCTTTGTGGCGATTAGGCGTCGCACAGCGCCAAAGAGCGCTATAAAAGCGACTCATATATATATATATATATATATATATATATATATTATATTGGCTCTCTGAGCCATCCTTGAATGACACTTTGAAATATCAGAGAAATATACCAGTTTTACCATGAGTGTGACCCAATGTAATGGAAAATTTTACTGAGCAATATGTTGCAAATTACATTGTCCAACTATAATACTTTTCATCAATACTAATGTATTGCCTCTTTTGATATTCTATTTGTTCTGAAATTCTTCTCTTTTTCAGGTATGTCCAAGTCAAAAAAGTGGTTGGTGGCTCTCGTCAAGAAAGTTTTGTTGTTGGTGGAGTTGTTTTCACAAAAAATATTGCGCATCGTGGTATGGCAAATCGATTGATTAATCCTCGTATTTTACTCATCCAGTGCCCAATTGTCTATCAGCGCATCGAAGGAAGGCTTTTGTCTCTAGAACCAGTCATGATGCAGGTACACTCATTGTATTTTCTCAGTTTCTCCCTCTTATAAAGTTTTATTGCAGATAATTATTATTTGATTCCATAATTTATGGCTATTTCCTATTATACAAAAGAAGGGCAAAAATTCCGGCCATTGATGTGCTTTTTTTTAGATACTGAACTTTCTTCGTGCCAATGTAATTATTGATGTCATGTGTTTTTAACAATTAATATCTTAATATGTATCCCATGTATTGCGTAAAAAGTCCAAGAGCTTGAGTAGTAGTTTAGTAAAATGTATTTTCATAGTAAATTATTATTTATAATTTTCCTAATGTGGCAGTAGGGTAGAATGTAACAAGAATGCTGTAGGCAATGTCAGATAATCTGCTCTTCTCTGATTTATGCCACCCCTAAGTTGCAGTGTGAGTCAAAAAAAGAGATGTGTTTACTACGTATTGGATACCTTAGTTTCTTTTGTAGTGGAAAAAACTCAGGGTGTAGGTTATCTGAAGATGTTTACTATTTCAATATTGTTTCTTCTTCAGTTTTAGTGGTTTGAACCAATTTTACTATTTTTTGTTCTTCATAATGAAGTTTAATCGCAGCTCCTTAGAAAATGTTCACTCTCTTTGATTCTTGCACTAGATAGCCCAAATTGCCGTCATGAGTCCACACCAAATAAATTTAAGCACTTTAAGACTGCGACAGAAGATCCACCATCTTGCTTCATGTATTTACTTTACATGTAAAAGTGATGTCGGAAAATCTTCTTTCCTTCCTACCTTTAGGGGCATTATGAATAATGGCCTTTAAGTTGTTTTAAATTCTTAAAACTACTTTTCTCCTGACACTTGTGAATTCATTTTCAGGAGCATGAATATTTACGGCATGTTGTATCCAGGATTGCATCATTGAAACCGGATGTTGTTCTTGTTCATCGAAATGTTTCAAGAATTGCACAGGAGTCACTGTACGATTTGAACATCACTCTCATTCTCAATGTTAAACTTAGTGTTTTGGAGAGGATAGCTCGATGCACCAGAGCAGACATTATCACATCCGTGGATGCTTTCTTTGGCAAACCTCACTTGGGGACGTGCCATTATTTTCATGTTGAAACCTTCATAAATGAAGCAGGTGACTGCAAATTTCTCAACTATTTTTTACCTGAGACATCATATTTTTTAAACCCATTTTTTACTTATCTGCCGGTGACTGAACTGCTATAAGGTATAATTTACTAGCCAATCTCATCAAAGTCTTAAGCTTTTTTAAAATGAAATAAACTTGAATGATGAAACAGGACTCGTGGACTCTGGAGTATGTTGCGATGTTCATGGGTAGAGTAAATAACATGAAACAAAATGCACAATCAAGTCAGATTATCTGAACTTCTCATAAAGAGTAGAAACCAACTAACAAATAGAAAAAAAGCCAGATGTTTTGGAAATGCATCTGGGATCACTTTTTTTTTTTTTTTTTTTTGTATTTTTTCAAGGTATGTGAGCTTGTGAATAATTTTATTTCTTATCCAACTCATTGAATGACTAAATTGCTTAACTGTGGGCCTAAAAAACCCAGGCAACCATCATCACGTATTTTATGTACTGAGAGGTCTCCAACCATACACCCTAAGTCCAGCATAAAAGCTTAAGTGGAATACTAGAACAATATGAATTTTAGCCGTTTAAGGATAATGGAGCTGTTTTGGGCCTCAGTTTTGGAGCAAAAAAATTTGGGTACCGTCAAAATCCAAAATTAACCAAGTACTTTGCTTCTAATAAAATACCTAGAAATATTGTTAAGGTTCCTTGCGATCTTTGACTGTAACAGTGGCTGTCTATCATGCTTACAGTAATTATTTTTTCTCCTCATTTTTCATGATTTTTTATATTGTTGCAGGCTTATCAAAAACTCTGGTTTTCTTTGAAGGCTGCGCATTTCCTCACAGAGGCTCCACTGTGATTCTTCGCGGCCATTCATCTCAGGAATTATCCAAATTGAAAGTCATCATGAATCAGCTCATATACATGAGTTACAATTGGAGGCTTGAAAATTCTTTCTTGATGGATGAATTTGCCCGACCTCCAAACTTCTCTGTCGACAGCTTCCTCAAAGAGTCTCCCCCATCAACAAACCTGCAGAAAAATATCGAAACAAGAGAACCTAAACCAAAGTTCTCAGTCGGCGGAGAAGACACTGAAGACCTTGGCAACCTTAACATGGATGAAGAGGTGAAGCCTAAAAAATCTGAGCCTACTCAGGACGGCGAGTTCACTTCCTTGAGAGCCATCAAAAATCAAAATAATGAGAAGACATCCAAAAACGTCATCAGTGACTACAGTGATCCTCTCCACATTTACCTTAATTCTGAAGATCAGTGTGTTTCAAATATGTATTGCAGTAAGTCAGATCAGGCTTTATCGATAGCAGAAGTTCCTAGAGCAAATTCTTTTCGCAAAATATTGGATGAAACCATTTTGTGTGTCTCCCCTTTTTTGACATTCACAATTCCCTATCTTGAAACTGAAGCTGGGAAGAACTGTGAGCTCCGGAAGTATTTCCCAGCTGAGAGCTACTATTCGCCTCTCCTCAGTAAAGATGAAAGTGCTTACCCAAGTCATAACATTCTTTCAAAGCAGCTAAGTGCATCTACCAAAGGTCCAGAATTAGAAGCCCCTCATCCGTTTACAATTGCTAAAATAACAGCTGGCGTAAAGGAAAATGAGGTACAGAAACTTTTAGCATTATACCGAGCATGTGGGAGTCGTATAAAATCTAAAGCCGGTAACAAAATGGTTTTAACAGAGAAGAGACAAGTTCCAGAAAAGTTGCAGAAACAGTCACTAGAACCAGAGAAGAAAGGGAAATTGGATGCTTTGGATCCTGCTAACCATCAAAGACTCCCAGTTTTATTTTGTAGTTTTTCTCACAAATCAAATAATGCTCCTGCGTTTTGTGTAACCCCTTGGATCGTGAACATAGATTTTTATGGAAGAAATGACATTCCTTTGGGGAGATTTCTGGAACGGTATTGCTTCCGTACAGCGTACAAGTGCCCATCAGACTTGTGTGAAACCTCTATGCTTGATCATGAGCGGCGGTTTGTGCATCAAAATGGCTGTGTCCTCATTTCATTACAGGAAATTTCATCGTCAGAAAAGCCTATTCTTGAGGAGCGCATCCTTCTATGGAGCTGGTGCCCAATCTGTGGTATTGTGACACCCATTGTTCCTATGTCCTCAGATGCTTGGGCACTATCTTTTGGAAAATATCTAGAGTTGAAATTTTATGGGAATATGTACACATGTCGAGCATTTCCGGAGGAACGTTGCAAGCACTCTCTCCATCATGATTACTCTCAGTATTTTGCATTCGGGAATCGTGTTGCCTGTTTCAAGTACATGGGCATTATGATTTGGGAAATATCGCTCCCACCTCCTATTTTAACCATCTTGCCCTCTCCTCATCAGCAAGAAGCTGTGCTTGATGAAATGAAAAAGTGGGCATGCATGGGTCATGAAGTATTTAGTAATGTTCTTGAAAAATTGCATGCAATGGGTATTTCAAATGATCCATCAATACAGACCTTCAAGCAGCAAATGCAAAAAGACCAAGCATACTTCAAGTTACGTGTGGAGGAAATCCAGGTTAAATTGGTTTCTCCAACTTTAGAAAAGTCCAGTGAAAAAAGTCCTACATCAATCCAGACAAGAATTCTGGAACTGCAGGATTCAGTCACTAACTTGAAGAAAATGGTAGTTGAATATGTTGGAAAGTGGAATGCAAGGATTTTGAAAGCAGAAAGCCTGATTAACATGAAGAAGAAAGACGAGAAATCAAAGAAAAACGATAGTAAAAGCATCTCAAACCCAGAATTAGTTTTGGAAAGCACTGGAAAAGCTGATGCTGACTCAGTGACATCGAGTTCAACTGTTGAAGAATCCATAGCAACGGAAGATCATGGACCAAATATCCAGACAGCCTCATGTGAAGTAGGAATGGAAGTTGAAGAAGAGACAAAAAGAAAATCAAGAACATCTCTAGAGATGGATGAAGCGCTGAAGGTACCAGCTGAAGTAGAAAAATCTGGAGGTGAACTTTCTCCTAAAACTGATAAGAAACAGGATGATCCAATCCTAGAATTTGAGAATGAGCTATCAGAAATTAGTGATGTTTTTTGTAGTGTGGTTCCTGAAAGTAGTTCTAGTTTATGGTCTCAAGAGAAAAAAGCAGTGAAAAATATTTTACTACAGCTACTGCCAGGAGCTGCACCGGATCTACCAATTCAGTGCCCAACCAGTGCAACAGAACATTATGCACTAAAATCCATGGTCGGCTCATCAGTACCTGTCATCGTTTACGAAAGTGAACCCAGCTCAATTATCGCCCATGCTCTCAGTATGCACGATTACCGCATTGCCTTGTCTGAGTTACAGAGTAAAAGCCGGTCAACGGAAACTCAACCATCACCCAACACAAGCTCTAAGAAGAGGCACAGTGGTGCAGAAGAGTCAGGGCAGCAAGGAGATGGCAAAAAGCAGAAAGTTTTCTCATTCCTGCGTACTCAAAACAGTAGCTCTAGTACTGTTTCAGGAAAAAGTAGCTCAGAAAATACAGCTCAGCCTTTCATCTCTGGAAGTGATGAAATAGAGACCGAAGAATCTGTTAAACATGATGTTGATTCCAAGTCAAAAACTAGTAAACAAGATAATGCTTCAAATTTAGAGGTACAATTTAGTGATGCAACAGCCAGTTTTATCGTGAAAATTTATAAAGCAGAAGAATTCCATAACTTACGATCATTGATATTTCCAGCTGGTGAAGAGGCATACATTCGTTCTCTATCGCGCTGTGTTCAGTGGGCTGCCCGCGGTGGCAAATCCGGCTCCAACTTTAGCAAAACCAAGGATGATCGGTTTATTCTTAAAGAAATGTCACGGCAAGAGACCCACTTATTTTTGGAATTTGCACCACATTACTTTAATTATGTTCAGAACTGTCAATTATCAAATCAGCCAACTTTACTAGGAAAAATTGTTGGTGTGTATCGTGTGACTCACAAAAACAATGTAAATAGTAATCAAGTAAAATCTAATCTTTTAGTCATGGAAAATTTGTTTTATGGTCGAACCATAACGCATAAATTTGACCTAAAAGGCTCTGTAAGGAATAGGCTTGTCACACTCTCAAGTGAACAAGATGGAGAAATAGTTTTGCTTGATGAAAATTTCATCAACATGACATGTAACTCACCTCTGTATGTCCATCCTCATGCAAAAGCAATTCTTAACTCCGCAATTAACAGTGATACAAATTTGCTTGCTCAGCGAATGATCATGGATTATTCATTACTGGTCGGTCTAGATGAAAATAAGAAAGAACTAGTCGTGGGCATCATTGACTACATTCGCACATTCACCTGGGATAAGAAAGTGGAGGCAATGGTGAAGAAATCCGGGCTTTTAGGAGGCCAAGGCAAACTTCCAACTATTGTTTCTCCAAACTTATATCGAGAAAGGTTCATAACAGCGATGGATGGTTACTTCTTGCTGGTTCCCAATAGATGGTCCGACCTTGAAGTCCATAACTTATCAAGTTTTGTCTGAATTTACCTCCATTCCACATTGTTACGAATAGGAGAGAATCAATTATCTTGGCAAGTCCTTGAAATTAAAGGTAACACCTGATCCGTACAGAATCAGTGGTCAATATTCCTGAGGAGGAGGCTGCTCTTTTAGCTTTCCTCCCGTGTTCAATAAATCTTTACAATGTAAAATCAATCATTATTTTCTCCTCCTTTTGATGTTAGCAAAAAATCAGACTATTTCATCTTTAAGTCGTTGATTGATCATCATTGAAATTGTGATACACGTTACCGTTTTATACTTTCTTTTTAATTGGATTTCCCCCTGTTTATAATGTTTTGCTTCATTTCAAAGTATTTCTTTTAATTAAATTGTAGGATCTTAGTAATATTCTTCCATTTTAACTAAACTTTTTTGTTGCAGCTAGTAAGCATTTTATGAAATTTTGTGATATACCATCAGTTGTTAGAAGTTGATTATGAACTTCAAACTTATTGATGATTTTTGTTATTCCTTCTTGAAAAAAATTTGTATTTTTGAAACAATTTTATTAGCTCTTTATCAATTAAATTTCATTAATTGAACTGTTATTGTTTGCAATTCCTTTATCAGAGCATATCATTCGGTATACCTTCAGCAAAAATGAATCCTCCTGAGGACCTTATCTCTCACCTGACATTCGAATTTAAGACTAATTAAATCATTTTATTTAAATGTTGTGGTCTCAGGAAGTTACATGTATCGACGGCATAAGTCCGCAGTCACATATCTTGTTTGCGGTGTCTGAAAATCTCCGCCTGTATGTTATTTTTTTTAGAGGAGAACAAATTGGCATCATTCCTCAAAGTTTTTGCAGAATTTTCTTCGCACAGAGAAGACAAATCACGGCAGTTTTAATGAATTGCTATTGAGTAGTTTTCTGTTTAAAAAATAAAGTATGACAGGAAGTCTGCAACATTGCAAACCGAATTATGTGATTGCCGATTTACACTGTCGATGTGTTCCAGATGTTGCTAAGTTTTTTATCAGCTCCTTAGGGTAGGCTTACAGGATAAATTTAACTCGACTTTATGGAGAAAAGCTATGCTAATTTCTCTTTCCATGGGAAGGCACGGTGAGGGAGGTAGTTATTGTACTTGTGGAGCCATCTAGCCTTATGCCAGTTGTTAATTCCTCATATCTTTTCACGTTTATCTCTTTTTATTCAAATAATATACAAAGACAACTATCGCAACATATTAGCAACCGCTGTGTTGCAGGAATATGCATATTTTCCATCTCTTGCCCTTGGCAAAAGAACCTTTGAAATCAATTGCAAAGGAAAGATGCCCCTCTAAAAATTGTGCAATAATGAGCTTGTCTACAATGCATTTTGATGAGTCCCCAGGAACCGTTTGAGTGTCATGTATGGCTTTCATAACTGTTATTTTCCCTCGTCCTTTCCCCTTATCATAGCCGCACCTAATGCTGACTGGACCTTGCCCTTAGGCCCGCTCTTCAAAACTACACAATGCTGAGCAGGACCTCTCTTCTCCCCCCCTCCCACCTCCCATCTTTCTATTGCTATTTTGACAGAATGTAAAAAAAAATATCTTCCATCGACATATTTTGCAGTTTCTTAATGTTGAAATGCGACTTAGGTAGGTATTCCTTCCTCCTTCAGGCTACCTTGTAATACCTACTTTGACACTTTATGACTGACATTTGATTCAAACTGTCCACAAAAGTTTTTCCAGTTTTGCAGTCATATGTACCCAGGTACTTGTTAAAACTTGAGAATATCTTAGTTTTGAGACATTCGGTTCATTTGAATGAATATTAACCCCTCCATTTTCCCTTGACAATTTTGTGATTTTTCAATTAATTTTGTCAGAGTTTTTTTATTATTGTTTTTGTTCTTTTTTTATGAGTACACACGACTCTGACCCAGGTAAGTAATTACCAACAACCCCCCCCCCCCCCCCCCCCNATAAATAAAGTACGTGGCCCAGCGTCTGGCGCCGCGCGCCGTTTAGTTGAGATTCCGCGAAAATTTAATTTTCGTAGAAAAGAAACTGCATAGTTTGATCAAGTCAGAATTTTAGTACTGAAGTATATTATGATAATAATTGTTTCTTTAAATCTGTATTGAGAACTGATTGGAATCGCTGTTTGAATTGGTGTGAAATAATGAAAATAGGAAATTGCAAGGGGGGGGAGGGGAGTTCGGACGTCAGTTACACATAATCAGATTTAAAAAAACGCGGGAATTCAGAAGTGTAATGTAATCTTTGAACTTTGAACACGCATGCTGCGCGCTATCTGGGTATATAATCTGAGAAGACCGCACACAGCTGTCGATGCGTTTTGATTCCCGCGTAAACTGATAAAGAGAAAAAGGCTCCATTTCTGTGCGAAGTCCGCGGTCTTTTTCTAATCTCTGCGGCTTTCATTTTCAACTTCTAAATCCGCCGAAATAATTGTGTATCTGTTACTGTCACAACCAAAATAGATGTTAAATTGTAAGTTCTAAGTCATGGTCCATTTTTCTTTAAATTGTGATATTCTGATAATCTTTTTCGTTCCATGTCTGTAGCTCTGGCTCTGCCTACATCTCATCAGTCCGCTTTTTTCACGTCTGAAGAGAATTTATCATTTTCGTCTTCATGCTAGCAAGTATCAGGTAGTAATATATTGCAATTTGGGCCTAAAATTCCTCAGGCTGCTTTATCTGCTCATCTATGTACTATGTTTTAATTTGTCTGGTCTCTGAAACTGATGGTAGACGTTCAGTCGCACTGGATTTTTTTTGATACCATTACATACTAAGGAGCGCAATACCTTTGACCCGACCGATACTATTGTAGGAATTTTGTATGGATAGTTAGTAGTCAAGGAGTAATCCTGTGGAATAATCTCCGGTAGCTTGTAGAATCAACTACCTCTTGGAGCAGCTAGGCTTGTTCTCAGTCGGTTTCCTGGTGAGATGACATTCTTACCAATTCACAGGACTCCTCAGCAGATTTATGAGTTAATCAAAAAACAAAATTTCGGTCCAATACTTTTAACTTCCATGGACGAATTTTCACAGCTCTCTGTATTTATTTATTGTCTGGAGTAATTAACTATGTCTCTCATCAGTGAGGTTAACCTCAACATCCATGAATGTTTCTGACTAATTTCAATTCCGGATCAGAATTCAACAGAACTTTTATCCTTTTCAGTGGACTCAGATTTTAAATCTGAAGTAGGGACCATGTAACATTATCTCATAGATTTCTCGCCGGGTGAATTTCAGTTCTATTACTCTGCCGAAGAATGGCTCTCTCATCTCCCACCACTGAATAATGTTTCTTGCGTGTCAGAATCAACTTCTCCATTCCCCAGGGTCTTATCAGTTGAGTGTCAATAGCATTCTTAGGCTGTGCGTTGTGCCAATCTTTATATTCGCGTGATTTCTTCTCAAAATACTAGTTCAACCTATCTGAAGGGTTTGTTGAACAGCCATTTGCCTGATGCTATCTGAATAAGCACCAGCCTTATCAATTTTCTTAAGTTCTAATAGTTCTAAGTTGTTCATATCGAGTCCACGCTGAATAAAGCTACCTCACTTGTGCAGTAGGATAGAAGAAATCCAATCTCAATTCTTACCAACTTCTAATACTGAAACGAAGACGGCTGACCTTCTGTCTCATTGTAGACGTGCTTGAACCTGCCTAGTGTAAACTCTATCTCTACTGAAATTCCACACAAACATTTAGCATGTTTTCACATGGTTTGATGTACCCTTCAGAATCTTCAAATGCAATGAATTGAATTTCTCTTCTTTAAATTCATTTTTTTTCTCCCCGCAAAGTTTCTATTTCACCTTCCCTTAATGTGTGCTTTCAGGAACTAAGTAAGCAGAAGTATTGGAAAGATGTCCTCTGAAAAAGTTCGAACAAGTTGGCGAAAATCAAGCAATGGTAGAAGCATTCCAGAAATATGCGATGATGGAGAAGCACAAGATGGCTATCGCAATGAGGAGCGCAATTTCTCTGGTCTGAACTTTGCCAACAGGAGTTGGGCAGATATCTGCGATGAAGACAGTCAGAAAACTCTGGAACCAGAAAAAGATCACGCAAGCTTACTGTTGCAAGATGACTCAACACTAGGTCCCATTTCAACAGACAAAGAATCAAGCAGTGACATGAAGGGTGTTATTTCATCTGTATCATCCTCCAGTGAGATACGAATTTTCTCCTCTCATTCAGGGCTAATCAAAGGAGTATTCTCTGAATCAGAAACCAGAGAGTTTCGTACAGATATGAAGCCTACAAAACAGGGCAAAAAACGGAAAGAGTGTGAACTTCTCCTTAATGAAGATAGTCTCAGCTTATCTTCACACTTTGATGTCATTAAAATGGAGAGTCCCCGAAAAACAACGCCGACCAAACAGTTACGCAGTCGCTCACCCATTTGTTATGATGAATCAACTGTCACCAGCCCCTATCGCCTTAAACGCAGAGTTCCACTCAAAGAATCTTTATCAGATGACAACCAACCAATGGATGAGTCCCTCCCAAGCCCTAGCAAAATTCCCAAAAGGAAAGATAGCTCAACTTCGTATGAAAAATCCCGCTCCACTCCCCGAGAAAAATCCCACTCCTCTGCCCGAGAAAAATCCCACTCGACGCCTAAAGAAAAATCCCATTCAACACCAAAAGAGAAAGAGAAGTCCAAGTCTTCTTCCAAAGATCATTCCCACTCAAAATCAAGGACCCCTAGAACACCGAGAACGCCAAGAACGCCACGTGATGAAAAATCTGATAAAACCTCCAAGCGGAAGAGAGTAGATAGTCAACTGGATAGTCAGCCAAGCACTCCTGGAAGTGGGTAAGTAATCCTCATTCAACCTCTTAAATTGCCTGTCAAAAAAACATTATTCATATCCCAGCAGGGATTGATTTTACACCCATTAACGCAATTGGGGGACATGCGCCAACAAATGACTTTAATCACTGCAGTGTCTCTGGCAGTCCTTAAAATCAGAAAATTCACCGCAACATTGAAAAGAAATTATGAAAGCAGCTACTAGCCAAAGTCAGTGTAATTATTGAAAAGATAAAAATCAAAGCGAAAGTCTTATTCAAAATCCCATGAAAGTCAAGGACTTGGAAAATGAATAATTGTAGAATTCTTGGCAGGTTATTTGTCAAAATGACTTCAGACTGCTCCACATACTCATAGATAAAATAAAATGATGAAACTGTATATTCCTCTAATTTTTTATACTTTGTTAATTTTTTCTCTCAGCATCTAATGTCTTGTGTATGTAGTTATTAAAGTAATACTCTTCATTTTCAGATCAAAGCAACGCCTTGAAATAGAAACAGATCCAGAAGTTTTACTCCGGAGGCAAAAGCAAATAGATTATGGGAAAAACACGTCTGGCTATGAGCGCTATCTAGAATTGGTGCCAAGGTAAATCCTTTTATTGATGTTTCTGACAAACGCTGGTTCAATAGTCCATCCAAGAAACGAGTTCGGCCACTATCGTAGCCCTCTCTCTCATCCCTTGTTCCTCGAGCTTCAATCTTTGGTTGGGCTTCCTTGTGTTTTCTTTTAGGTGAAACCCTATCTAGAACTGTTTTTAGGATCCTTTTTTCCATCACCTTTTTTTAAGATGAGCAGATAAGGTAGTCAACTGTGACTTCACACTTAGTTGCTGTTTCACTCGACCTTCTTGGACTTTATCCCTACTGATAATTTTTGCAGATCCACATGCTAAAGTTCATTTACCCCTCTCTTAAGGCCCAGATACACCTGCAAATTGCAAACGCTTGTTGAAAATGACATACCACTAGGCAAGGAGGATTTCGATAGCTCGACGTCGAGCGATCAAAATCCTGGTTTCTTATTGGTATTTCACTTTCAGCAAGCGCTTGTAACTTGCAGGTGTATCTGCCACTTTTTTTTTTTTAAATCATTTTAAGTGTGGCTACTGCACCAAGTAGTGTCAACAGTCCTTAGTTAATCCTTAATTCGTACAAGACTGCGTAGTGCAGTCGCTTACAAATTGAAAATAATCAATGACCAGCTTATCTGATGTAAGCGCTATCTATTAAAATAGAGCACTTGTTGGTCCACTCTTTTTATTTTATGATAAAATAAAATTGCTCTTTTATCGCAGAGACTCAAGAAGTAGAGATCATCCGAAAACTCCTCCCAAGCAATTGAAGTACAGTCGGCGAGCATGGGACGGATTGGTCAGGACATGGAGGAAGCGGCTTCATTACTGGGATGTACCAAATGAGGATGGCACCATGCCTGAATAGTAAGTTCATGAACTCATCCTCCATGCTTTAAATATGGAATAAGATGATTGTTGTAATTGAATCACCTGGTGCGGAAACATTTGATGTTCAATACTGTGTTTCAGAACTGCTGTAGTTATTTTGACCCACAACACTGATTAATGAAGTCGCTCTTGTTAGAAAATGCTTAATTATATCTGCGGGACATTTGATAAACTTACTTCCCATTCCTAAAATTTTAAACCAACTTCTGTCCATAAGATACAATGAAATCGCCCACGCAAATTCTGAAACACTGTGTTCGACATCGGATGTTTTCACACAAGCCAACCCAATTGACATCTTAAGATTTTAGAGGAGTTAGCAGTCCCTATCTTCACCATGTAAATATCACTGATGTTATGTACACTTTTCTTAGGTTCTACCAGACGGGTTTTCAAAAACAAAACATTTTTTTTTTCGATTCCTTAGACTCTGTTTTAGCTTCAAAAGAGAGGGTTTTTGAAAAATCTGAAAATTGAATGACATGAATTTTTCAGAAAATTTGAAGAAAATTTACCAAATGAGGCCTTCAAACTTATTTTTGTTTTCTTTTGAAGAATAATAAAAACAATTCCTCCTGTGTAGTTAAAGAAAGAGGTAAGAGAAAACGAACCAAAGAAATTTTTGAAAACCTGTTCATCTTGTCCTGAGAAAAGTGTACCCTGACGTCAAAAAACTTTGTTTTGAGAAAAACCTGTTAAAATTTTTGATAACACATGAGGTTTGCATCTCGCCATTTGCCACACAAAAAGGCATAACTTATTCAATAATGGCCATATTTGAAAAATGTTGGTCTTGATTTACATCTGAGAATGTGTAGAAATCAATCAGAAAAAAAAAATCGAAAACAACTTTTCTGCTAAAAAAAAATGACTGCCGACTCCTCATAAAACAGGATGTCTAGCGACAGGAAAAGCAGAGATAAAGTCTGGGAGAAGAAGTGCGCAACCAGGTGAGTTGTGAACTTCCATGCAAGATAATGATTTTTTGCTGTAACTTCACAGCTATTCTATACAGAGCTCTGCAGTAGGTATCTCTTCCAGTTTGAATTGACGACCTCTCTCGGAAATTTGAGTCCCTACCGATCTGTATCAGTGCTCTAGCGTTGAGTTGCGTTTATTTTTGCGTCTTTTATGATTTGGAATTAAAAGCCAGGGAAAATAAGGGAGATACAAAATACAAGAGTTGGGCGCAGCCTGGAAAGTCAGGGACGGTGGATAGAAAATTTTGCGAGACACTCTGGTTTAAGAAGGCTTCTAGAAATCAATTACCAAGTAAACTCAAATGAATGCATGAAAATGAACTATTCTGAATATTATCCCAAGATAGAATTTACACATTATTGTACCTAGCTGTCATTTTCGTCTTATCAGTTTAAATGTACAAAAATGAAAGTAATATAAATACAGAGATAGGTTCCGAATGGTGAGTGGCTCCTGGTCAGATTTGATGGAGAATTCATTTGTTACTTAGTTTATCATTCTATATTATACAGAATTCTCCTATACTATGAAAATATCCAAGGGCATTTTTCATTCACTTTCATCATTATGAATGGGTAAAATGGGATTCTGTGAGCTTGGCTCTTGCCTGGCATAGACTACTATGGCCTGTGTCACACCATCAAAATACTCCATCTAAATGTCAAGGTCAAGAGCTGTGATTGGTCCAAGTCGTTGAATAAGCTAATCACAACACCTGATCTTGATATTTGATGGCTAGCTTTGATAGTGTGACACAGGCTTTTGCGTCACTGAGTGCTCCTCTTCCCTGCTAACGTGTAACAGCATGGCTTGCTCTGCCTTGCTGCCCAACAGTACACTCGGCCATGTCTCTCATTATCTCACCAGCACAGTTTCCAATAAAGTCCTCTCCTATGTCAAGAGAAATGCTTTTTGAGCCCCTCACCCTAAAAAAAATAAAAATTATGATGCTGTCAAAATGAGAAGATTGAAAAAAAAATAAATACAAGGGATGTATAATAAAACATAATGAAAAATAGGAAGACCAATCTTCACACCTGCTGGTAATAGGTCATTATACTGAAAAGCACAGGTGGTTACAGAAGATGGTAGTTATAATGGGAATGGAACCTTAAAACGTCTGTTTTGATTCCCAATTTTCAGGGTTTTGAATGGTCTGGAAATCCGGGAAAGTTATAGGACTTGCATAAACTGGAAGGAGTCAAGGGGTTTGTGGGAAAAATGAGGGCATAGATAGAAGAAATCAGGGGATGTCACAAAGAGAATAATGACTCAATAACTTCAGCTGGTGCCATTCAAGATAGAGCACTAGGTATCATACTTATCGCAAAATTCCAACTGGGGTTGTGCATAGCAAGAAGCGGCATCTGCACCTTGCTGTTGTTCCATTCTCATCGGCTGTCGCATCGCATTACTCTAATTCTTGAATGTAGCTTGAGATCACATATCCTCTGTATTTTCTGGATGTCTCCATGATATCAAAGTCAGCCGTAGCCTCTGTGCCCTACGAATGTGTCATTAATATTTGTGTCAGTTTCGATTTCAAGCTATTTTTTAAAGTTTAATTTACTTTTCTCTGTCAGTTTCTATGAATTTTGTTCATTTTTAAGTTTCTGCGTCTTGGAGAATTGGCTAACCTTCTGTTTCTATTCCCTTAAATCTATCAGAAAGCTTGCATACATCCATCTGATCTCTTATACTTGTATTACTAATTTTACAATCCTTTCTAATAAAACATTCTATTTGTTTCAGCGTGGACGATTACGGCTCAATGTCAGAACAATCAAGCTGTGATGAAAGCATGTCTGTGGAGTCCCTGCCCTCCACGCCAATGCAAGAGTGGAAGCGGCGAGTTCGTCAACGCCATGAATCAGAATCTTCGGACTGCAGTAGCTCAATGGCAGAAGATGACTGTCACCCCCTTGCTGTTTCTAATGACATCAAAGTTTGACACCTCTCTGAGAAGATTTTACCTTTCTTCCATTCTCTTTCTCTTTGTAATGAATTATAACGACCATAGACTAGTCTCTTTGCAATATTGGAGGAGCTCATAAAAGCCCATAGAAAGGAAGAGAGTGCATTGATTTTATTGTAGGTTTTTGTATTTTTATTTTCTCAATTTTTTTTGTTTGTCCCGTAATATTTTTCTTATTTTAGGAAGTCCCAAAATCGTTGTTCTTGCTCCTCTTCTTTTTGCTTCTCTTGTCTGCGAACTCTCCTTGTAACTCTTTTAAATCTCAAATCTATTTTCATCTAATAATCTTTTACTGAAATTGATTTAAAAAATATTCGTTTCACTTTCAAGCTCCTCATAATTTTTTGACTGTATTATTCATAATTATGTCTTGACGAAAGAAGAATGTTGTAAAGTTTCCTCAGCAAATCAGGTTTTTGATCCGAAAAGTACAAACAAAATTTAAAAAATAGGTCAGTGGTGAAACTGCAAGGACGTATATCTCATTTTCCATGTTTCAAAATCTCTGCTTCTGTTCTATTTCATCAAAGGAGAGCTAACTAACGCCATGGCTTCATAGATCTTTCATCACAAAAAGAAGGAAAATAATGATAGTTTTTAAGAAAAGATGTTGAATATATTTCCATTTAAAAGAAAGAGCGAGTGACAGAAAGTCTGCAACTTTACAAACTGAGATTGTGTTCCTGTAGTTTCCCTGTCAAGGTGTGAAATGAAAGATAATATGGATTTTAATAGTTTTCAATTTTGTTTTCTTTGTCGAGGCTCACTGTGTAACTCTTCAGAACTGAAATTGATTAGCCCCTAATGTGTTACTTACATCGTACTGTGTTTGAGTTTAGTTCTAGTTCCTTTTAATTCTCAATTGTCTTTGAATATTACATGTTAATCATTTGAACATAGAATAATCTCCATGATAGGGAAGCAATATTTTGATTGACAAGATGTTCAATCATTGTCTTGAATTGCTTGAGTTTTGACAGTTTATCAATCTTTGAAGATTTCCAATCAGTCATCTCTTCTGGTGCTAATTTCCCTATGAGAACGCACTTGTTATTTTGATCTCATTTGTCTTGACGAAGGCCTATACTTTTTTTATTACCATCCTTACAAAAGAACAAATTACAATTCAAGTTTGAAACGGAGCACTGATAAAAGACTGGACCTCTTTTGGGAGGTTTTTTTTTTTTGGAAAGAGCACCATTTGCCGATAGATAGAACTGTCACTACTTGGGTGTTTTATAATGAGCACTCGGCTGGTTTTTTTTTGTTTATTTTTTTTCATTTGCTGTAATTTATGAAATATTACCCAATTTACAAGCAGATAAGAGTATCCTTAGAGACAAATAATAATGAAAGGTTGCGTGTCTTACCAAATTTAGAGTAATTTAAGCTGGTAATTGTTGCTAGATTAAAATATATGTCCCTCAAAGCAGAAGAAAAAAAAAGAGGTTAACTTTTAAGTGAATTTCATAAACTGTATCTCCATTTAATGAGTGTTAATGATTCCATAAACTTTTTAATGAAAATCTAAGCATGCAAGTCAAAATTTTCATTTTTACTGATCTCATTTCCTTATGATTCATGATGTCACTAATTTTATGAAGCACCAAGTTATCTGAATCTTCAGACATTCTCAAGGGAAGAAGCAAAACCCTATGATTGAAATTGACCTGAAAGTACAGCTTAAATATCCAAGAAAAATTTGTACATCAGCAACTTTCTTTCTTGCTCAACATTTCAACCTTCATCCTGATCTAATTGATAATTTCTTCCATTCATTTTCTCATCAATTGAAAATTTTGACATACGTTTTCAGGAATGGCAATCCCTGATTATAACTCTACAACAAATTGATTAAAGATATAAGCACTAAGACCAATAAAAATTCGAAGTTTTTAACTAGTCTCCCATTGCTGCATTTTAAAAATATTATTTGGAAACACAGTTTAAAGGTAGAAAAGTTATAATAAAAAATTGAAGGGGGCCATTTTTCATCCTTTGCTTTTAGTCCACGCACTAAAAATTGGCAAGTGCCTAGTTGGGGAGTTCAAATTTTCAAAATTATTTTTCAGGTTTTTAATTTTTTTAGGTTTCTCATACATTTAAAAAGCAGTAAATTGTTTTTGTCAAGTCTAATGAGGCAATGAGTATAGCATGACTAGTTGTCTGAAAATTTTGTTCCTTAGTGCCTGGTTTCCGGAAGATTTTTATGAAATGCAGTTCAAACCTCACTTTGTTTTCGGTATTTTAAGGAGAATGAAATCCTGTAAAATTTTTAGTAATTAGTAAATCAGTATTTGACTGAATACCTCCGCAAAAGAGTAGGTAGAAAAAATTGACCAATCCTCTTGATCAACGGTGGACTTATTTTTTTTCTTTGTAGTTTTGTTTTTACTGTAAAAAGAGATATCGTGTTATGACATGAAGTTTTCATGCAGAATTTATTCGGACCTATTTAAATTTGCAATTTCTCTATTTGCAAATTGTGTTAAATTTAAAAGAAGTATATTTTTAGCCTTTTCTCCATCATTCTCGATTGGAGAGGAGCTTGTTTTCAGAGGCTTTCAATTAAGGAGCTTCACCTCCTTATTCTGTTTTCATCTTCTTTTGTATCAATTTGTAAATTCACCATTAGTTTGGTTCGGCAATATTTCATTTCTGGTCACCATGTATTATTCTTAACTAACGTCCTCAATTTCTTAAATTTTTGTCTGTACATTTTGTCTTGTAGTGCTTAGTGACAAACATTTTTGCTCTAATTAGGATGGACTGTAAATGGCTTTAGTACACAGGTTGTGATTTGTTGGTAGCTTTCTTTCAACTCGTTTCAGCTAAGCCAGTTCTGTTTGAACATGACCACTTTTGAGTTCCGTTTCATGTATTCCTTGTGATGTGTGAGAGCTGTATAAACAAATGGTTCGGTGTCAAGCCCAAACCGTTTCCAAATAACGTTTACCCACCTCTGTTTTTAAACAAAATTTGAGCCAATTTGAGTAAGAGGCTAGTGCATGGATAAAGCACTACGTGAAATTTGTAGGATGTTCCAGTTTTTTTTTTCTCCTCACCTTCAAAGAGTATAATAGATAGTACTTTTCAAAATTGTCTGACTTTTATTCCCTAATGTCCTCCGTTTTTATTTAAGAAAGGAACCTATAAGTTCCTCGCTCGATATATGTCAATTTTTTTTTGTGAATTTTACAATTTTAATAATAATTAATGTAGCGTGTACATACATTTGTATTTCTAGGGGATTAATTAACAATAATTGAAATAGATTATTTTTTCTGAACCTTGCGTTAATTTTTTTTTTACCTTACCCTGTGGCCTTTGGCACATGTAAGCTTTATGAGTTAGAAAGAGTCCTCTTGTGAATATTATTTTAAAAAACTAAGGACACAATGTTTTCCTGTAGTAGTGGTTCTTTTATTTCTTTTATTCACCAAAAGTATTACCAAGTAATAATCCTGTGTCTTCATCCTTTCAAATGAACCATCCAAAGAAGGGACAATAAGAAATTCCGATCATGATTATCGTTTAATGCTGCATTTACCTATTAATTCTTTGTTTTTCACATTCCAGTGTGACTGTTGCAAGCTCCTGCAATTTTGACGAAAATAGACATTTTTTTAGAGAATTTTAGGGAGCTTTGCGTTGTCCAGCATCTCAAAACTCAAAATAGCGCTTTTGACTGAAAAAAAGGCTTATAGTTGAAGTTGCAGAAAAAATGTTTCTCTTTGGCTAGAAGCTTATGATATCATATGTGGTCATGACCCAGTGTCCAGCACCTTCAATCCGATGCAGCATGGACTGCGTATGATTATTGTGTTTGGCCCATAGTATTGCGAGCATGGTCAGGATACATATTTTTTGTTACAATGGCAACTTGAAAGAAAACAAACCAACTTGGGTAGAAGTATAGATGGACCGCGTTTAACAGAAAGGAACCAAGCCACATCAGCTATTGCTAAAGTTAACTGGACAATTTAATTTTTTACGAGAGAATGTTTGAGCGGATTCTTTTGAAAATTTTAGGGAATTTGCTTCGTACTATGGAGGATATCCACTGAAATTTGCATGAAAATCCGCAAAACCCTTTACTTGCAAAGAATTTAACTGCCCAATCAAATTTGGCAATAGCTGATGTGGCTTGGTTCCTTTTTGTTTAACGCGGTCCAGATATGAGGGTCAATTCTTCTTGTGATGTTATTGATTGATTCTTATTTTTAATACTCTCTCCTAAAAATAATTACATAAAACTACAACAGTCTCATTATGGTTGAGGGGGCTCCAGCAACATTTTAGTGGTGTTGGTATGTGGCAAGGGTGCATCAGTTGTCACAACATATCGATGGCTAACTTGCAAAACCATGTATCTTCATTTGCGACATTGCAGATCTCCTGTCATACCCTAGGTACCTATTTTCTTTTACAGAAAACAAGTCAGTGTAATTTCTTAAAAACTTTTATGATTTTTTCTCCCTTATAGCAAATTATTTTGCATAAATTTCTTGCCGTAGCTTAGACTTGTTTCTTTCAGAAAAAATAATTAGGAGCAGAAATTTTGAAGATATTGGGTCGAAATTTGAAGGACCACTTTACTAGGCCAAAAGTAATTAGGTTCCTGCATTTACTCTCTTTGCTAAAGTAAAGACAAACTCTTTTCTGTCGAATTCAAAAAGGGCGTTGTTAACATATTTTCCGTGACGCTAGCAACAATCGCAACACTGTTTGCCACTTTGAGACGGAAGTCCATTTCCGGTTCCGGTTCTCCGTCGCCATGTTCAATTTCTTTTTGTTTCCGTTTCCTGTCAATGGCCGCTCTTGTTTCTTAAAAAACTGTTGTTGTTGATAACAAGCCATGTGGTCACTCATAATCATAATTAGATGTGCTTTACTTAGTTTAGATTGCAAGTTTTGTGGATTTTCTTCTAATTCTGCGCCTTTTTTACACTCTAATTTCTGAGCAATTTGAGTCTGGCAAGGAATTTGAAGTCTGTGGATGGTGATTCCGCGTCGCAATGGCCGGAGACACCGATAATATCTGCCTCAACATCGGAGCACGCACACTAGATCCAGAGGTCTCAAAATATGTAAGTTCGTCTCCATTTCATTCGCCAGTTGAAAATCGTCCACTTCTTTCCTTTATTTTATCTATTTTTCGCTCATTTGTCGTCATTCATTTCCATACGTAGGTTGGACAGACCCAGAACTTAGGTCGAGCAATCAGTGCATTGATTCCTTCGTCCATCTCCTTACCTGTACTCTCTGATAATCATGCACCTTAATACCTATTCACTTCTTTAATCCTTCTGTATTGCGCAAAGTATTGCATCGATCAAGAATGACCGCTGCTATTATTAACTACCAGGGCATGTGGACCCTAGCATTTGAAATCATTTGATCGGGGAGAGTAGCCTGCAGAACGGGATTGTATGTACATCCAGTATCTCAGTGTGTGAGGTGAGATGACAGCGTAACATTCGTTCACTTGTCATTGCAGCGAATTCTATCATTTGTCCAAACACTAGTAATGTTGTTAGAGCTGCGTCTGCAGATCGGAGAGAACTTCGGAACTTACCTTCGCAGCCACTGTACGTGTCGTTAGATTTTGGTTAGGTTTTGCGTTTGTCTGTTAGCAGCAATGCCTTTGCATTATAGATTACAGGCAGCGCAGCCCACTAACTGTTAACCCCTGTTTGATCCAGAATGAGGAAAGTTTAGACTAAGGGATGTACCCAACACCGAAGTTGTATCTAGTGCGTACTACACATTTCTGACCTCCATTTTGCAGTGTATTAGAGCGGACGCATCGTAGGTTGAGATAAATGTCAATCTCTAATTACTGCCGAATCAACACCACTCAACAGGTTAATACATGCAATCAGATGGCACTACTGATGAGTGGTGATCTAAACAATACTTGACTTTTGTCTCAACATACGATGCGTCCGCTCTAGGTAAATTGACTAATTGGTTGATTTTCAGTTGAGTAGGCTAACTATACATAGCGGTGTTGAATGACTGCATAATCGATGGTTGTATATTGGGATTCCCCTGTAGCGATGGAGCTCATGCATGTGTCAGGGATTTGTGTTTCAAGTATTCATTCTTGTGTATACTCAATTCATCGGAGAAATACAATGTTGCCGCCAGTTTTTTCTGAGACGAACTTCAAAACTCCAAATAAGCTCTTAAACTTGAGGCTGTTATGGAAGGATTTCCTGCATGCTACGCTGAGTGGCCATCTTTACATCTAGTCAAACTCTGTGTATCTTCCGAGACCGAATACATTTGCAGGGTCGCCCACTTGGTTTTGGGACTTCAAAGTTGGAACTACGGTAGCCCTGCTATTGTATGCTATCTGTGCATGAAGAGTTTGACTAAATGTTAAAGTGGACTCTCAGCGTGGCTTGGGAGATCCCCTCCATTACAGCCTCAACCTTTGAGAGATGTCTCCAAGCTGTGGAGTTTGTTTCAAAGAAAACTAGTGGCACCATCTTGTTTCTTGCATCATTTTATGTGAAGACATGTGTTCGAATTGCAAATCTATGACACAGCAAGCGCTCCATCATTCTGTATCCAGGGGAAACGTCCGAGCCTTCAAAGTCTGATTATTGCATTGTTATAAGTTGTTTCTTAATTGTTACAGTTTCAAAGGCCCTCCGAATCCAAAGGGACAGGTGCTTCCAAGACAACCAGAGTTAGTGCGAAGAGTGATATCAAACGCAAAGTCAACCCTGCTGTGAAGAAAGTTAACTCAGTCTTAATTCAAAGGAGTTCAAATGTGAAACCTAAGTTCGGGAAACCAGCAGATGAGTCTCACAAAGAGAAGCATCTCCTCTCTGCTGGATCTAACAAGCCAAAGAAAGGAGAAACTAATTCTGGAAATGAAATCGGGCAAGGTCCAAAGAAAGTTTCTACTAACACTTATGGGCCTACTTCATCCCTCTTCCGAAAAAATCCAGAAGTCCCTCAGGTGGAGAACAAATCCATCAAACCAAAAAATGAAGCTGTATTTTCCTCAAAGTTTTTCAAGGATGTTGCTGAATTGCACCCTCATACGGTAAGTTTGTGGTTCTTTCCACCAAGTTTTTTTTTATAAAGGAAGCCACTTCATTGCCTTGCACTTGTCGAAGAATTTACCTTTGGTTATGACTGTTTAAAGAGATGGGTACATCAATCTGTTAAAATGACTAAAGACTCAGCACACTGTAATCAAGACAAGAAGAAATAGATCTCAATCAAGATTCAAACTGTAATGACCATTCAATTCAACAAACTTCTCTGGTGTTGAAACCTGAGAAATTTTGCCGGAACACTCCAAAAAAAAACATGGAATTTTGAAGTAGTAGAAAAATTTTAGCAAAAAAGATGTAGAAATTGGAAAATAAGTAAGTCAGTAAAAAGTCGCAGTGAAATTGCAGCCAGTGGATAGCATCGTTAAACCTTCTGAACTTCATTGTCTGTAGCTCCTGAAGCTGAGATCGGAGAAAATACATGATTTAAAAAAGTCAACCCATGTATTGATGTCTCTTCGTAAGGAAACAGCGGAATCTATGCTCTTAATGGAGGCTCTGGAATAATGTAAAAATGGGTAATTTTTGGCTTAGAGATGGCAGCTTCCTTATTGTAAAATAGAAAGGTATGAACGAGTAGACACCCAGGGTGGCATCATTAAGAGGAAACAGGACTAGCGTAAGTATGGGGAAAGGACAAAATGACCGGAAAGAGCCAGAAAATTGGCATGTGTAGAACTGGTAAACTTTTAAATGTTACATCTCATAGTTTTAGCTTAAGTTCCTCAGCTAAATTGGAATATTTTTTATCACTTTGTGTTGCCTCGAAAATATTATTAAGGAACTCAAAATTCCCATGGCCACCCAGGGTACTATGTATCCACTTCTAATATCTTGTCAAGTTCTTCAATACTTAAACCTAGTTAATTTATTCATCCCTCTTTGTGCACCAAAAATTTTACTAAGGTAGGAGATAGATGGATGAATTCTCTTGAAAGCATATCTTGTGCCTTTTTATTATGGATTCTTCTTAAAGATTTTTCCATGAGCTTAGGGCTTGATCTTTGGTGATACTGGTGATATCATCTTGTTTCATGCCAAGTTTTTAGGAGATCATTTAGTGAACCCAAATGCTGCGCTCTGGCTTTCAATAGCTCTGTTGGCTTCAATGTATTAGCATTATTGATTTTTTAGTGATGGGCTAGGCATTGTGAGATTCCTTTTTGTGGTCAAATAATTTTAAACAGTATTAAAACAGACATTTAAGAAGCAAACTGGTTTATGTTTTCCCCGTGGTTCAGTTTTGAATCTATTTCTAAGTATAAGTAGGTACTGTCAGCTTATTGTTCAGATTGATATTACATTTTTTTTTGGTTTTTCCTCAATCAACAGGTGAAAAATCTGGCAGATGTGCTCCATGTTACACAGATGACGCAAGTGCAAGAGTTAACTCTATTTCCGCTGCTGGAAGGAAAAGACTTGTTGGTTTGTTCTCAAACTGGGAGTGGTAAAACCTTGGCTTATGCTTTACCGATTGTTGAAATGTTGCAGAAAAAAAGGCCTGAAATTGTTAGGTCTGATGGTGTCAAAGCATTAGTAGTTTTACCAACACGAGAGCTTGCTCTTCAAACCTATGAATGCTTTGTTAAACTTGTGAAAGTAAGTTAGACTATATTTTTTTCATTCTCTTATTGTTCAATTAACCATTTTCTTGCTGGATTTACATTTTCAGCCCAAGCCAAACTTTTATTGGTGCCCTGAAAGGGGGGGGGTCCTAGAATCTCTATCCCTGTGGGCGAAAAGAAGGATGTTCAATGTTAGGCAAGTGTTTCAAATGCCCTTTTAGAAAAATATGATATTAAACCTTCTGAATATTTTAACACCAGAAAAAAGCTGGTGTCAGAAAATAAAAAGTGACCAATAACTACAGAGGAAAATGAATTTTGAATCTACCATTACTGACATTTTGGGATGAAGTCACAAAAATTTTGCATCCCAGACTCAAGCTTTTGTAGCCGAATGACGAATAGAGATTCGGCAAAATAATGTAACCAAATCAAAGCTCCCAGGGTTCTTTTTTGCCTGAACAGACCATAAAAATGAACATTTCTATTAATAAAAGTTCGCTCCATCAAGAAGAGGCCTCTTTCCTGCAGAAGAGCTTCATTGTCCAGAAAAAGAAGGAAATACTGCTTTGAACACTCTTGCATGAGTGCTTTCATGTTTTTTTTTCTTTCCGAACACCCATTTTTCCTAAGATAAATCCATAGTTTGTTAATCTGTATGCCATTTCATTTCCATGGATTCTTTGTTTCAGCCTTTTACCAGGTTAGTGCCTGGGCTTCTTGTCGGTGGTGAGAAACGAAAGTCAGAGAAGGCCAGGCTTAGGAAAGGTGTGAACATCCTCGTAGGCACCCCTGGAAGACTGCTTGATCATGCCATGCACACGTGCTGTCTGCAACTCTCCTCGGTTGAATGGCTAATTTTGGATGAAGCCGACCGACTCCTTGATCTGGGATATGAAAGAGATGTTGCTAGGTCAGTCCTTTACTCAATCAGTGCTTCAGTACACCAAAAGAAATTTCTCCAGAACACCTTGGTTTCTTCGCATTACGCACAATCCAAAATGGTGTCGTTCAATTGGAACTACATATTCTGAAAAATCCTTTTAAAAATACTTAATTTGTCCTCGCCAAGTTTTCACTTCTCGAGAAATGGTAATTTTGAATGACAGTTTGATCACTCGAATATTCTTTCAAGCCTTTTTCAAAATGCTCTAAATTCTTCTAGGTAGAAACTTATCAATGCAAAGGCTCACAATACCAACAGCTACAATTTTTCTCGTTTAAGGTGATTCGATGGACGCCATATTTTGTGTCAGAACGGCATGCGATATATCGCATCAATTGGTTCCATTTTTTCAGCTACTCGTCATTTTTCTCCAATGTTGAGATCGCAATTCTGTTGTCAGGAGATTAAAGCACTCACCAATTTTAACAAGGAGATTCAATGTAATAAAGGCGTCGTTTTTTCAGAGAGAAAACATCGCATGGGATTTTGATATCGAAACTGCACTCGAATGCGATATTTTCTCTCAGAAAAAACCACGCCTTTATTACGTTGAATTTCTTCGTTAAAATTGGTAAGTGAGTACTTTAATCTCCTGACAACAGAATTGCGATCTCAACATTGGAGAAAAATGACGAGTAGCTGAAAAAATGGAACCAATTGATGCAATATATCGCATGCCGTTCTGACACAAAATATGGCGTCCATCGAATCACCTTAATAGTCCTTATTCTGCATGGTTAATTTATTATGTACTCTTACATTAATACCTTCTCTCTGGCATGGCTTTCTCTAGTCTGGTTAGAACACTGGATGAGCAGCAAAAAAACTCAAGACAAACAATCCTACTCTCTGCAACCCTAACATCAGCTGTTGAAAAGCTCGCAGGATTAGCTCTCAAGAATGCTGAACGAATAGATGTCTCAGACTCAATCGATCACGAGCTAGTCATTCCTGACTTTTTGTGTCAATGTTATACAATAACACCTCCTAAATTAAGGCTCGCCGCTCTTGGTGCTTTCATCATTTGGAAATGCTCTGTGAGTAATGTCAGATATTTGTACTTTTGTAGTTAATGGCAAATCATGCATGTGTATTAGCTGAATCATTTTGGCTAATAAATTGTCAAATGAACTTAAATATTCAATTTTAAAAATTAAGATTCCTTAATGTGCTCAGTGCTTAAACAGCATTAAAAAGAAAGTACAGCATTTTTTTGTACAGTGTCATGTGGATACCTCAGAAGAGTTTCAACATATTCTGTTCTATTCTATTATGTGTAATATTGAGTAGTAACCGCTGAGCTGCCTTGAGAGGCGACCCTTAAGAGCCTAGGCACTGGTAACTCTGCCATTGCGCACCTTGAAGTTGGACCAATCTCTCTTTAATTAACTCAGTGCTATCAGATGTATATAATTCCCCTGCAAGGCTCAGCAGCAGTCCAATGAGGCACCATTAGGTCGTATCAACAGAAGTGAATTGCAGACGTAACTGAGCATTCATTTTGGAAGCATAGCCATGTTCCCAACCAGTTGGACCGAGTCATTTCAATCTCTCAACCTCTTAATAGGTACTCTGGTGGTAGCGCACACTTTAAGTGAACTATGATTCAACCACAACTCAGTCAGACAGTGCTGACTTATTTATCATTATTTTTCAGTTAGTTGTTTTCATAGCTCTATTAGGCTATTAGTTCATGGATTTCTTCTATTTCTCTTTGTGTCATTTGTTCTTTACTTTTTCCAGGTAGAAACAGCAGGCAAAATGCTGGTATTTATGGCGACACAAGATATGGTAGATTATCACCACGATCTTTTCAATTCTGTAATCAATTCGGTAGTGAAGAAGAAAATACTGTTTTCTAAACTTCACGGGAACATGACTCAGCAAGAAAGGTTCAAAATTTTCAATGATTTCCGACAAAGCTTATCTGGTGTATTAATGTGCACGGTGAGTAGTCACTATTTTTTACCATTCAAAAATCACCAGTAAAATGGATTTTTTTCATATTAACTCTTGATTTATGACGTCTCAGGAAGTCCTGAGGGACGCAAATCTATGCTGTAGCTTTTGTAAAACATTAAAGTTCCAATTTTTTCTCTCAGAATTTCAAAATTTTGGTATTCTTGTTTTCGAAAAGGAAAACACTGATACAAACTTGCCACACTTATGTCACTGAGGAATGATTCCATTTTTGAGAAATCAAGCAATGCATAGTAACGAATTTGTTACACCATGCTGTAGAGGGTTAAGGCAAGGCTCATTTGCACTGTGTCTTTCTTGAAGCATGGATGAAACCAAGGTGGAGGAAACCATGGTATGCACCAATGCAGTGATGGATTTATTTACCGTGTAATTTAAAAGTCAATATCTCCGTCAACATTTGGTGTCGAAACTTTTTGTCCAGACGAATTTTTATTTTTTGGTGATCTTTAATCTAATCGTCCTAACACAATTCTGTGGCCAGTACAACTGACCCACCGGAAAAATGCTGTAAATCTTGTATGTACTTATCTCCCGTCTCTATCAAAAGATTTTGACTTTTCATCTTTGTAGGATGTTGCTGCCAGAGGAATTGATGTCCCCAAGGTTGATTGGATCATTCAGTACACAGCACCTGTGTCCCCTGCGTACTACGTTCATCGAGTGGGGCGAACAGCTAGGGCAGGAGAGGCAGGTTCAGCTCTCCTCTTTTTGGTTCCTTCAGAAGTCAGGTTCATAGAACTTCTACAAGAACGTCAAATACGGTAAGAAAACTCTTGCTAACTAACCCAACAGATTCATTGGAAAATCGGTGTTAGCTTCATTGCTGCACTTGCGTGTGAAAGTTATATTAAAAATAGTTATCAGCTGCAATAAGTATTTAGAACGATGTTCTACAGGTTGAACTTTCAGCTATTAACTGTCTTAGATTTTGTAGAGACTGGTTGAATTTCTAGTAAGAACATTGTTGAAAATTAAGTGTCAACTTTTGTAACCTCTCAAAATCTCCCTCCCAAAGCTTAAGTTGGTTAAGTCCAGGTAGATCAACCTGCTGTAGTAGATTATCTACTGAAACTCAAAATTTCCTTGAAATGGGTAATTACCGGTGAGTCGGTAGCCTTGGAGTCTGACTCCTCTGACTTGCCATTTTCAGTTACTATTCCAATATGTTTTGAAGCCCAGCTATGAGCAACTAAAAGTTGATGAGTCAACGGGTTCTGTTCACATTTATTATCTTGTCAAATTATTTTGATCTTCAGATTTTCTCCTGGTAAGGCAAGCCACTTATTTTGGAATTTATACAGTTTCAGGGCGGACTTGTTATTTCTCTGCCTTGCATTTGGGGGAAGAAAGGCATCTCCCATTATGCTCTCTTTTGAGGCTTTTTTATCCTTCTGGTCCGAATAATTTTTTGTTGATTTAAATGAGAATCGGAGAGATTAGAAGAAGGTAGAATTCATATTGCAAAATCTTGCAACAGTGACCTGTTTTGAGTTTAATGAAAAATGGTTAAATTGCTATCATTTTGCTGAATATAGGCATATTTTGGCGATAAGTATAGTGACTGTAAAATTTTCACGTATGAGTTACTTGTTAAGTTTAATATACCTCTCCTGTGTCTTGTGAAATTTTGTCGGGGGAAAATATATTGTGTTGCCTATTTTCTGATCGTTTTTAATGGCCCCTTGAAGATACATATAAAGCACCCCGAACTGACATAACATGTGATTAGTTAGAGCATTATAATTAAATTTAATGACCTCCCGATTCGATTGTATTTCTTTTTTTTTTTTTTTTTGCAGACTTATACAAGAGAATGCAGAAAGTTACCTAGAAAAATTACTTGCCCTCCGACAAGATAAAAGACACCGACAGGTGAGTCTTTCTAATTTCTTTTCTTTTTCATTCAATGGACTCCTCAATCATCGGGCAGCGTGCCTGCCTCCTTTGATTTTCTTGTGATTTGAAATTTTCTAATCTTTTCCTTTCAAAACAAGAAAAAGCCCTTCTTTTTCACTCGCTTCATATTTTTCTATGCCTCCATTTTTCTCTTTTTCTTTTAGTAAATGAAACCCAATTTTTAAATCATAGATAACCAGAACAAAATAAACACCAATTTTGTTTCATGCTTGATAAAATTTTGCAACAGTGTAAAGGGTCAAAAATAGTTCTTAAAGGCTGTAAACAATTACTTATTGTACATTTTTTCCTGACATGATATAGATTTGCCTCCTCAACTTTGAAATACCTGTTTTGAGTTTGATGAAAAATTGTTAAATTGCTATCATTTTGCTGAATTTTAGTGTATTTTGGCGATCTGATCGCCAACACTCACCGGATAAACTACTCACCAGTATTTGATAACTATATTGACAACCGTTTTTCTCAGTTTAAAATCTCATGCTGGATCCAACCCAATTCATCTGACAAGTGCATCAAATTTGCCAGGTTGCTGTCAGAACAACAGCTGAAAAAATTGGCATGACTGATGCAATTTTCCTAACCATACATAAGTACGTCTCTTTTGTTGACCCAGAGAAACGGACAAAAGTTAATTTTTGATTTAGTAGGGCAGGCAGAAAAACTTGACTACATGTGTAAAGGTTCAGAGCATGGCTAAATATTGGCCTTCTACATCTATTTTTAGTACTTGCCAAACTTGAAGAAATTCAAATAGGTACATACTTGGCCGTTAAATCTGCAAATCTAATTAAATCAATTTACGTTGTTATTTTACTTCTTTTTTTGACTTTAGGAAATTGGGTCCACCATGGAGTCTGCTGCAACTTATCTTCAATTAGAATTTGAAAAAGCCGTCCTAGAAAATAAAGAGCTTCATAATTCAGCCAGTAATGGTAAGAAGAATTCATTTGATTCTCAGCTCCTAGTTTTATCACTTAGTTCTGGTGAACTATATGCACTCTGTGAAGGGTCATTCCGTATAGAACCCACCAGCCATGCAACCGCCCAACTCAAATTTTGCTGATACATTTTTTCCTGATCAGACCATCAAATAATGAACTTTTGTAAAATATTAGGTCAAGAGTTTAATAAATGACAACCCTGGTAGGGGGGGGGGGGGGGGGGGGGCTTGAAGAAAATGAGAGAAACAAAAACGTTCTTCACCAAAAAAAAACATAAAACAAAAAACCAACAGAAAAGTTTTTAATCTACTGAAAGCAGGTCTGAAGTCAAACCAATCGTAATGGAACATTTTTTCGACCGAGTCGATTGGATCACTGTTTCCTTTTTGAAGCGAAGCTCTAGACACCAGGCGCTTCACCGCACCTCCTACATCATCGCAAGCTGTCTTGCCATGACTGATGGCAAAAAAATTCCATGATGCCGTCATGTCAAAATCAGCATCATGATCACACAAGTTTATGAAATTTTTGTAATTTTTATACTGCCCAGCACAGCCATCAGAGAAATACCAAAATCTTTTGGTTTCAGGAAAATTTAGCTTCAAATGTTCAACAATAAGTTTCTGTGTTTCATGCAAATACATGCGCTAAGTCCTTGTTAGGGTCATCTCCTAAGGGGATGAGAGGATTGGACACGAGATACTCAACGGATGCAGGTGTGATGAAAAACTGTATTGCGAGATGCCAAGTCCGACATCCCCGGACAGCTAGGCGACAGAGTTGCCTCAGGTGGCAATGTATAGAAGTACAAAACATAACAGTCCTCACTTAACACATATAAAACTGGAAGAAACAGTTTCATTTTCCTTATAGGTCCTATACTTAACGGCAGGGTGCAAGGAGCAGCTTTCTCTTGCCCAAAACCTACCTTGAATCTCATTTTGCAATACAAAAATAGAGTTCTCACTGAAGTCGAAAATCACTAAAGCTTCATCAATAGAAAGTTTTTCTTATTTCCTTTAGAAATTTGCTTTGCTTTTTTGCTGTATATGAATGAGGTATTAATGCCTCTAGACTTTCAATTAAATTGGAAATGTTCTCTTAAAGAGTAACGTTGAATTGAATTTGTTGCATCCTGCCTGAATTGTGTGTCCATGAATAGTAGGATATTTTTAGGATTGGGCCAGGGTGGCTACTGCCACCCAGAATGTCCTCATCTGCTTCCCACTCTTCAAAGACACCTAATAAAAAATTGTCCAGACTTTCGCTGTCTATAGAGCTCGAGCTGGGATTTTTGGGTCATCATCTCTGGACTGAGGAAGAATATTTCCCTTGGCTGGCGGCTGATGAATTTCAACCTCAACAATTTATTTGTTCATGGCTCTCTGATTCTTTTCTCTCCGGAGCTCGAGCTGGGATCTTCGGGTCATCATCTCTGGACTGAGGAAGAATATTTCCCTTGGCTGGCGGCTGATGAATTTCAACCTCAACATTTGCTCATGGCTCTCTGATTCTTTTCTCTCCGGAGCTCGAGCTGGGATCTTTGGGTCATCATCTCTGGACTGAGGAAGAATATTTCCCTTGGCTGACGGCTGATGAATTTCAACCTCAACAATTTGCTCATGGCTCTCTGATTCTTCTCTCTCCGGAGCTCGAGCTGGGATCTTTGGGTCATCATCTCTGGACTAAGGAAGAATATTTCCCTTGGCTGGCGGCTGATGAATTTCATGGCTCTCTGATTCTTTCCTCTTTGAAGCTGGGGCTGGGATCTGCAGGTCATCATCTCTGGACTAAGGAAGAATATTTTCCTTGCCTGGCGGCTGATGAATTTCTACCTCAACAGTTTAGAGATAGCTCTCTGATTCTGATTCTGAAACAAAAAGAATATGAAGTGTACCAAAAAACATGTCTGTCCACCTGTCGTGCATAGGCTATTCACTCTTTGCAGAAGTTCATTATTTGGTGGTCTGATCGAGAAAAAAATTTATCAGCAAAATCCGAGTCGGGCGGTTGCATGGCTGGTGGGTTCTATATGGAGTGACCTTTGTGGCCCTGTTCTTTTTATTGTGTTCGACGAGTGAGTTTCCAATTTTCGATATTCCTCGTATTCTGTTGCATGCAGGTACTGAAAAAATACTGATTTTTTTCTTTTGAGGAGGTACTGAATTTTTTTTAGAAAGTTCTGAAAAAGAACTGATTTTCTGCCAGCCAGTTCTTGTACACATCCTGTGCGAAGTATCAAATTTTTTGCGAATTTAAAGCTCAATAAAAACCATCAAGTGAACTTGCCAGCGGGGGAGGGGTGCATAAGACGCGTTTAATCGTGTTGGACCCATTTTTTGCGAAAGCCCTGTCAACACTACTAGCAACAGTTCACGGAACTTTGCGCGAAATTTAAGTTTCGTAAACCTATCTCTGTGTGGACAAGGCCTTCCATTCATAACAAATGAACGAAAAAATTATGAAAAAACAAACATAAATGTGGTTTAATGATTTTAACTTCCGCCGCGCCGCGCAGACCGCATCGTGTTTAGCGCAATGCGTGGATTATTCCGACAGTCTTAGAGGCTCTATGATTTTTACGCAATTTTTACGCGATTTTTTGTGTTTGACGCAATGCGTGAAGTATTCATGCATTCTTGCAGGCGCTATCCGTTTCACGCTGACCGCAGTGACCGCACTGTGTTTGATGCAATGCGTGAAGTATTCGTGCAGTCTTGTAGGCGCTAACATGTGTCACATGCCGATCGATCGCCGCGCCGAGGGCTTCTCCTTTTCATCTCAAGTCCTCGTCATCATTTCTCTCCAAGTCGCGCCGTTCCAGGCCAAATTGCGTGTTTGGTTTCTCTCTTAACTCGACTAATTAAAGGTGCTGTCACTTGTATCACTGAAAGATGACAAAATTAGAAATTACTATACTCTCAGGAAATGAGAGATTTTGCCGCCTTTTTTCGTTTGTATTTTTTTTTTTTTCTAAATCCGATTTTTTTTTATACCTACCTACATTTAAAAAAATTGCAAAATTTGCCGCCCCCTAGATATGCCGCCATGGGCCGCGGCCTGTGACCTTCTTAATCCGGCCCTAATCACATCGTGATCTTACTCGATGGAACTCGTCCCGAAAAATTTCACACCATAAACTAAGCTGCCTATCCCCTTTAAACGTCAATGATATCGTCTTTGGTTCGTTCGAATGTCCAACCCGCATTCGTTAGACCGTCCACTGTCGACCTGTCTGCCAGGAGGTTCGCTCATCTCTGTAAAGTTAGTAATTGATATTCCTTAATCCATAAATGATCCTGAGTCGTGGTATCTACCATGCATGTTCAAGCCACCGCGTCTTGACTGTAAGTGGGTCGATCCGTCGCATTTCGATAGTTTATTCGCGTTCCGTCGAAGCGCTGGTGCATTGTTGCCAGTTCTGCAATCTGAAGGGATCCAGAGACACAATGGAGATGTTGCTTGTGTGAAGAATTTGCGATTTGACTAGTGATTCTTATTTAGAAGTTCGCGAGAAACACGATGGTGCCACTGGTTTTCTCTGACATCAACTCCCAAGCTCAAAAAAAGCTCCCAAGTTGATGCCATAATGGAGGAGATATCCCACGCTATCCTGAGATTCCACCTCTACATCAAGACAAAACTCTTCATGCAAAGATAGGGAGTAAATACATTGACAGGGCTGCCACCTTATTTGGGAACTCTAAAACTGAAATCACGGCAACCCTGTCAATGTATTTGCTCCTTATCTGTGCATGGTGAGTTCGTCTTGATGTAGAGGTGGACTCTCAGGATAGCGTGGGATATCCCCTCCATTTTTGCCTCAACTTGAGAGCTTTTTTTGAGTTTGGGAGTTGATTTCAGAGAAAACCAGTGGCACCATCGTGTTTCTCGCGAACTTTTACATAAGAATTAACAGTCAAATCGCAAATTCCTCACTCATGCAACATCTCCATTTCAAATTATTTTATTATGGAGATTAGGGGTATAATTTCCTTAAGTCAAATGCGCTGGCTGCTTAGAAGTCGCAACACCCTGAGGAAAACAAGGTATCGAGTAAAAGAAGAGTACATTAGTTCAGCAGGACATCAGAGGCGAGGCGTTAATGATCGCCCATCGATATTTTCGCATTTGAAGCTATGGTAAAGAATCGATTATTAAGGTGTTCGTTGCGAACACCCTGTTTATCGATCCTTTTCCATAGGTTCAGGTGGCAGATCAATCGATATATTGCAAAGCACGCCACGCCACTGCAGGACACCTTCTTCATCCCCGGATGTCTCGGAGTAATCCGCGGTTTTGGTCGGTTTAACCATAGATTTTATCCAAGACCTTTTGTTTGATTTTACACACACAAAAACTTAAAAAAAAGGAACTTTAAGGAACCCAAAGTATAACCGTAAACGCGGGATTTTTTAAGTGGGAAAAGTCATGAGTTGAGATGGGTTCATAATTCGGGAATTTTATTTATTTATTTATTTATTTATTTTTTTAAATTTTCTTTCCTCTTTTTGAGTGCCATTGAGAGCTCAATTTTCCGGAGATTTTTCCCGAACAATTTAAATAGAAACGCTCCGAAGCCTCCAGTAAAACATTGAACCTCAGGCCACCAGTAATTTAAACGGAACCTATCTCTTATTATTTGCAACGCTACTCATGCCCGAAGTTACCTAACAACTCATTTCCTGGGTGGAAGCTCTGGTTCTTATTTTCACTGCAAAACGACAACCTCAGAAATGAGGTGCCGGTATAGGACGTAACCCGATCTGCGGAATCCGATTGCTGCATCCGACGAGTGAGTTGGAAGTCGTGATTTTCAAACCAAGTCGGTCATCTTAACGCTTTCTGTCCGCGTTCTTATTATTCCTGCATCTGTTACCTTTCTTTAAAATCCTTATTTTTGACCAGCAACACCCCTCTCCCCTCCAATCACTTCGGAAATGAATACGCCAAAACTCGGCATTGGTCACGCCAGCGCGCGCCAACAATAT